GACGGCCCAGAAAGGGGCAGTAGAAAGTAGTGGTGAAGATCTCGAGGAAGCGAGGGACCACTCAGCTGGTTTCCAATTATTCACTTTTCATAAAATTGACTTCTGAGGGGCCGGCCCCGTGGCCGCGTGGTTGAGTTCGCGCGCTCCGCTTTGGCAGCCCAGGGTTTCACTGGTTTGGATCCTGGGCGCGGACATGGCACCGCTCGTCAGGCTATACTGAGGCGGCGTCCCACATGACAACCAGAGACACTCACAACTAGGATATACAACTATGTACCGGGGGGCTTTGGGGAGAAGCAAAAAAAAAATGACTGGCAACAGATGTTAGCACAGGCGCCAATCTTTACAGAAAAAAAAATTGAGTTGTTGGTAGATCATTAAAAATGAATTTTGGCAATAAATGCTCTGTGATTTTTGGCATATTTGGAAGAGTTCAAGTAACTGAATTCAGAAGGAATGTTCTTAAAATCAATAAGTATTGACTACAACAAAACTCCTTCCACTGCCGTCTGGATTCATATGTGATCCAGAAATCTCTCTTTAACTTTAAAACAGGAAACATAGGAGGAGAATTTATCCTGCCTCATGCTAGCATTGAAAATAGGAACCCATGGATAGATAGATTCTTCACAGAGAAGGAAGGCTGTACTGATCACTTTAAGAGATTTATATCTAATTAAATTTTTTATTTTTAATATTTAACAAAATATTTTGGTCAATTGTGTACTAGTAGAAATTGTGTTGATAAGTCAATCCAAAAGTCAATTTGTTAACCTTAGAGCCTTCCTGTCCAGGAAATTTAAAATTTTCAATTTCTAAATGCATTTCTGTTGCAGAAAAGAATAAGGCAAATAATTTAAAATCTTTCAGCCATACCAGTATACTACACTGGAATAAAATTTTTAGGGGGAAAGTGGAATGGAATGTAATTTTAAGTGACTGATCATTGCTATGTAGCTCTCCCTATATATCCGTGTTTGTATAGATATATATGTGTTTGTGTGTATATATACACAAAGATATAGACATAGATATGTATATGGAACCACTAACATGTTTATGAATCACTGGAAATATTTAAAAGAGTAAGGTAATAGTTTTATTTTAAAATGTTTATATTTACCTTACACAACTCCTTAAAGTGACAAAAATGCAGATGTAGCTTTTTAAATATATGAGAGTGCATGCAGTTTTCCAGAATTCTATTGGGGAAAACCCTGGAAAAACTATTGCCGATCCCTGCTGTGGCCCACGGCTGCCCCAAAAGGCGCGGTGGGATCCGCACCGGCCCTGATGGAGCCGCCCTTTCCCCTCCCTGCACGTCTGCGGTCTAAAGCCCTCTGGCAAGAATTCGAGGAGGATCACTTTGCCTTTGTAGAAGTTCTGCCAGCCAGAAATGCCCGCCCTGATCCTTTCTGTTCCTCGTTCCTTGACACCTTTTCCGTCTTTTAAGACCCAGCTTGTTTCACCTCTTCATGAAACCATCCTCCAACACCATCTGCTGGGATTTTGCTTTTTCTGGTTTTTTGTTGCACCGTAAACTTAACATATGATTTCCTGTCATCTTACATTGCCCTGGAATGTTGTGTATAGTTGGTCTTGGCTTTATAAGAAGACACACTATTGTAGTCCCTCGAGGGTAGGGACCACATGTCTCTGGTTTCTCCTATAAGACCTCAGCACAGCGAGAGGCACTTAATCCATACATGGTCAGTCTGCAGCTTTGCAGGGAGAGTGGGGACATCGCGCTTCCCCTAGTAGGATTTGTGGGGAGGAGAAGTCGCCCTGCAGCGCCAACAGGTGGTATAAGGCAAAATCATGGGTTTTGGAGCCAGTCGTGGGTTCTCAGCACTGTCTCCACCACCTACTGGTTCCTTAGCCCTTCTGAGCCACAGACTTCTTTTTCCGAAAAGAGGGACACCATCTGTGGAGTGATTATCATGGGGCCTGACACTCAATCAGTCAAAATGTACGGGTAAAGTAGTTGTAAGACAGTCCCTTCATTCTTGTCTTCCTGGCGTTTGTCCCAGGAATCAATTAGAACACAGCAAATAATTTTGACTCAGGACTAAAATTCATTAGTAAGTAAAGTGTTATTGAGAAAGAAAAAAAGGCTAATATATAGTTTGTAAGAAAGGGATGTAGTTTAGATCCATTCAAATGTGTCCCCTGGAGGATAAGTCGGTCTGACTGAGCCTGCTCTCTCTGTCCTCATGCAGTCAGAGGGCCAAGAAATGCAGTTTGCTGTCCCCGGGTCTGTACTAACTGGTTGTGGTACTTTGTACTGGCAGCTGAATTCAGGGCCTGAGGCTCCTCGTGCTTGCTAAGACACAGGCATGGTCAAAAACTATATTAGACTTTTAGAATCTCTTTCCTCTTTCACCTAAATAACAAGAAGGAAAAATGCACTGAGCTCCACACCCTGACGTGTCACAAAGCTGGGGTTTCATAGTTCAGCCCTGAGCGCAGGGGGGATTCTCCTGACACCCTGTCAACCCCACCACATCTCCTCACACTCTCACACCTTGCAGCCTGTTTCTCTCCATCTCTGATGCTCGCTCTGCTTCATGGCACTTCCCTAACTGCCTTGCTTGATGTTTTTATTACTGTCTCTCCACCTGCTGGTCCGTAAGTTCCACAAGGCACTTGTTTCGCTCACCTCCTTGTACCTGTTTTCTAGCACACGATTGAGATGTGTGGGTAAGCAAAAGTAGTTCATGAAGAATGGCTGGGTAAATATGTAAACGAGGGTTGGCCTTAACCAGCTTGTTGCTTTAGCCAGAAGAACTCATTTGCGGATCTACAACATAGTGCAATTATTTGCAGCAAGTTTTCTTGCCCATGTAGGACTAAATCAGATTTAAGGTAAATTAACTAAAAGTTGAAGCCCAAGCTACATTTTAACATTTCAAGGCAACTGTATAATTAAATACTTTATGTTTAATAAGAAAGTTTGTAAACTGAATAAAACCAAGAGTATTTCATTAGAGTCAACTTATTTTGTCACTATCTTTAGGTTTTTAGATTTTCTTCAAGGAATGTAATCGGTTAAAGAGAAGATAATATCGCTCCTTAGGTAAAAATTTAATAAAGTGAAAATAGGTTCTTAGTTCTAAAGACAGCACACCTAGCTTGCTATTTTCCTTGTCTCCTGAATTACTCAATATAATCTGCATTTAAGTCCATTGTTTGCTGTTCTATCACTGCTTTCTGAAATAGTTCCTTCTACCGTGCTCCAAAACCCAATCTTCCTCCAGTCACTTACGTATTTACTAAACGTTCACTCATTTATTCAACAAACATTTACTGAATGCCGCGTGATCCGACGCTGAGAATGATGCCCGCTCCAGAAACCTGTCACGGTGTAAATGAATTTAGCTGTGTTCTGCCACTTGCTTTCTGTATCTAGGACCTCTTCATTTCACGCTTTTATAATTATAGTCAGAAAATGTTATAATGGGAGGGGATTTTCAGTTTTATGAAAACAAAACCTAAAGTCTGAAGTGATTGTTTGAGTTGCTGAAGTCACAGAGCTGACGCGTAGAGAGCTGGGACTCAGTCCAGACCTCGTGAAAACCTGCCCTCCACACCCCGAACTCCTCACAAAACCAGTCTGCCTTCCATTCTCCATAGAGCCACTTTGTCTACACCTCTCTCAATCCACTCATTCAACAAATATTTATTCCAGTATGTTCTAGGGAGCTGACGATTTCGTTTTCTTCCTCATATCTGCTCACACACCTTGTGAGTTTTATCTGTGTTAATGTGATCACTTTCTCCTCATCCTCAGTTTAGAAATGTCCCAGTTATTCTTGACCCCTCTCTCTCCCTCCATCTTCATGTTCGCTTAGCTGACAGACTCTATTGATGTTAATTGCTAAATATCCCTGGAATCCAGGCTTTGCTGTTCATACCCCTCATATCTTGCCTGGATGATTGCAGTAGCCTGCAAGCTGGGCTCTGTGCACTGGACTGTGTTTCGAGTTCTATACTACTGCTAGAATGAGTGTGTTTTCAGAGGAAAAAAGGAAGGAGGAAAAGGAGGTACTGCTGTCACATTAATACTTAAAAAGCATGACACGGTAACAGATTTATAATTTACTATTTTATACAGGAGAAGCTTTTAAAAACAAAAAAGAGACAAATAAAAAACCTTAGCAAAAATTTAAAAACCTTTCTCAGTATCGCCTCATCTGCTCTTTCTAAACTTCTCTCTCCTTCACATCCTCTGAGTCCTGGCATCTCTGAATCCCCTCCTCATTTTTAGACCCTTTAACGGCCCCCTTGCTCCAGTACGCAGTTCTGGGTCCCCATCGTCTTTGAAGTTCTGGTGTTGGCACAGTGCCTGCCACACGGTAGGTACTCAATAGGAGCTTGTTGAGTGAATAAATCCGTCTCTGGGGAAAGGCGGAGAAATGAATGAATAATCTTGTTAAAGTGTACTCGTTGTGGACTAGAGGCATAAGTGAAGACTGTGGGTGCGTGGAAGGCTTTGCTCCCTCGGCAGCAGTCCTTGCATGTAGACAGTGTCCCCTGCTAGCAGGTAGGGTAGGGCAGCCTCTGCATAGCTTACTGTAACTGAGCAGTTCACACTGGTGGAACCCACTCTGACTTAATCTCTAACGGCTGCGTCACACACAGCTGAGAGAAGGCAAAACCAAAAGAGACACTCACTTGGCGACTCGCCAACTTGCTCCAGAGTGTCTTTGGCAGAAAATTTAAGGCAATAGCTGCATCTCTGGGGCGAGGCTGGGTTTAGGGCTTTTATTTTTGTGCTGCTGTAATCCACATGCTATTTTCTAGTCTCCATTTTCTTGTGAGGGTAAATGTTTCCAGCCGATTTCCTGGGGACTGCGAGGTGTTATTCCTCCCGGGTATTTCAGCCTTTAGAACTGTCGTGGTGCAGAGGCTCTGTAGGTACCTCCAGTGGAGAAAGCGTGGCCTCTGTTGTGTGTGTCTGCCCTGCGCCATGCTGTGCTGTCCACCTTCTCTTCCTGCAGGCATTGTTTCCATAACCACCCTGACTGTGCTGGCCTACGAGCGTTATATCCGCGTGGTCCACGCCAGAGTGATCAATTTCTCCTGGGCCTGGAGGGCTCTTACCTACATCTGGCTGTACTCCCTGGCGTGGTCAGGAGCACCTCTCCTGGGCTGGAACAGGTACATCCTGGACATACATGGACTGGGCTGCGCCGTGGACTGGAAATCCAAGGATGCCAACGATTCCACCTTTGTGCTCTTCTTATTTCTTGGCTGCCTGGTGGTGCCCATGGGCGTCATAGCCCATTGCTATGGCCATATCCTGTATTCCATTCGAATGGTGAGTTGAAGACTACAAATGCCCCGCTCCAAACCATGGCCATGGCAGACAATTTTGTGGGGAAGAGAATGAAACCCTTCCTTCCTGATCAGTAGTTGCCCACAGCAGGAGCAGCTCTAGGGAGCTTCCCGTTTGAGGGGATTTTGCACTATGAGTCATTGTCTGAAAAGTTCAATGAGGAATAACATTTACTCTCTCTACACCGCTCTCTAACCAGAAAAAGGAAGGAAAGGGGTTTTGGACAGACAAGGTCAACAACCACCAAACCCTTACATTCTTCAGCATTCTTAGAATTGAAGAACTCTAACGAAGGGGATTCCACACTTCCCGTGATTTTATTCACTGAAAGGTCACAGAAACCTCTAGAAAACAGTACAGGTATTTTGTCTGGAAATCACTCAGGAGTCATAAAGGACAAGAAGTGACCGCAAGCAGGTTTCCCGGCGGGTGCTAGCAAGGAGGACGTGTGCAGTAACAAGGCTGGGGCACAGGCCTCATCCCAGCCTCTAACTTCATCCGTGGATGTTTCCCGTCCTCCCTCGGTGCTTCTTCCTGCTCAGTTATCTTCTTCATCAAAACCCTCCAGTCTCGTGCTCTCTCTGCCAAACCCCTCTAGCTTTCGCCTCTTTCTTTTTTTAACCAAACTTAGCCATGCGCGTCACTTGAAGTCATGATTATTGCCCTCGACTTCCATGTTCCACCTTTCTTCATACACATCTATTTTGTAAAAAAGAAAAAATTCCCATATCAACCCAACTGTCTATCTTCTCCATGCCTGTAGTCTGACCACAAAGAGGAGCTGGAGAAAACCCACACTGGGTTCCCAGTGTCCATACTCAGGTGTCCTCTCGGTCGTGTCTAGCAATCTTTGGATCTCTAGATGTTGCACTCTCTCTACGCAATTGCTGCTACAGACCCTCCATTCTCATTTTAAATTCTTTCCCTACTAGCCCCCTCATTCTTATCAAATAATCATGCTTATTTTTGGGGCAAAATAAAGCCGTTATGGAGAAATTCCTCAAATCCCTGCCCCCGTTTATGCAAGCCTCCGTGTTCACACTCCTCCTTCGACCTCTTTCTTCAGTTACAGGGTAATGGGAGAGATCTCTCGGGACCAAGCTGATCCTAGATTCTGGTTTTCCCCCCAATCTCATTCTCTGCCCCAGGGACCTCTCTCAAGTAATAATCTTCTCTTTCACTTATATGTTCAATCTCTCCCTTACTACTCGCTCTTTCCTCTGAATATATAACCATGCTAATTTAATTCAAAAGCAAAATCTACTCTCAACTCCCTCTAGTTATCATTTTGTTTCTCTCCTTGTCACTGCCAACTCACAGAATCCTTAGTGGCTTTCGTGCTGCATCATCACTCATTAAGCATTCGTTTGACCAGTATTTACTGAGTATCTAGAATGTACCTGTTACTTACTGCTATGGACTGAATGTTTTTGTCCTCCCAAAATTCATATGTGGAAGCCTACATGCCCAACTGATGGTACTGGAGGTGGGCCTTTAGGAGGTAATAGGGTTCTATGATGTCATGAGAGTGGGCCCTCATGATGGGACCAGTGCCCTGATGAGAAGAGGCAGGGAGGCTGGAGTGCGCTCTTTCTTTCCCTCTCTCTCCACCATGTGAGAACGCAGAGGAGAAGGCAGTCATCTCCAAGCCGAGCTTGTTGGCACCTTGATCTTAGACTTCCCAGCCTCCAGATCCGTGAGAAGTAAATTTCTGTTGTGTGAGCCACTCAGTCTATGGTATTTTATTATGGAAGCCCAAGCTGACTGAGACGTTTACTAGGCTCTGAGGATCTAACAATGTATAAGATAGAGCCCCTGCCTCAAAGAGTGTAGTTTAGTGAGTTCACCTAGCATTTACCCTCAACTCATTGCAAATTGGCACCCCTTTCCTCTACCACACTCTCACGGAGACAGCCCTCATTAAGGTCATTGATGACCTCCCAAATGTTAGATCCAATGGACACATTTCTGTTTCCTTTTTTTTTATTTGTGACATTTGAGACTTGTGATGCTGTTGACACCTTCCACTTTAACTGTGATTTTCTCCTCCTGTTGTTTCTAGTACCCCATTCTCTCATATCTTTACTGCTAACTCTCTGGCCCCATCTTCTTAAGTCTTTCAAGGGCTTCTTTGCCTCGGGCCTCGCCAGCATTCTCTGTTTAGCTTTCATCTCATACTGCACACTAACCTTGGGCCATCTCACATACCGCCAGGATCTCTCCTTCTAACAATAGCTTGGTGACTTTGAAATCTCTATTTCTGATCAGGTTGTTCTTCTGACCTCTGTCAGATCTTCACAGTCAATTGGCTATTGAACACCTCCACTTTTGGTCCACAGACTTGTCAAATTCAGCATGTGTGAAGATGAATTGGTCATCTTTCTCCCCAAATCTGCTACTCCTCCATTCCCATTCTCAGTAAGTGTTCCTCATTCCTAGCTATCTAAGCCAGAAATCAGGCAGTAATCTTTGACTATTCCTTATTCATGTCTTCCCCTGCATCCAACCAATTATCAATTTTTATCTATTTGACCTCGAATATTTTTCCTTATATCCTTTTTTTCCTCTCCCACTGCCACAGACTCAATTCAAAAAGACTTTAGTTTTTCTTCCTGTATTCTTATTTTCCTCTAATCCCTTTTTTCCATACTGCCACCAGAATAAGTGTTCTCAAAGGCAAATTTTCTCATGTCCCTGCTCAGCTTAAAATCTTTTAGGGGTTCCATTGCCTTCAAGATTAAAAATAGAGGCCAGCCTGGTGGTGCAGCGGTTAAGTTCGCACATTCTGCTTCTCAGCGGCCTGGGGTTCGCTGGTTCAAATCCCGGGTGCGGACATGGCACCGCTTGGCACGCCATGCTGTGGTAGGCACCCCACATATAAAGCAGAGGAAGATGGGTACGGATGTTAGCTCAGGGCCAGGCTTCCTCAGCAAAAAAGAGAAGGACTGGCAGTAGTTAGCTCAGGGCTAATCTTCCTCAAAAATAAATAAATAAATAAATAAATAAATAAATAAAGCCCCTGAGTGTGACTACCAGGTCCTGTATGGCCATCTCTTATCTGCCTGTCCAGTCTCATTTCTTGACACACCCTCCCTCTTGCCACCTGAGGATCCAGCCAGCTTCAGTATTTCTTGTTCCCGGAGCTTGGCATGTGTTCTTTACTTCTTTGCCTTAACGCACTTCCTTTGGAACATTCTGTCTCTGCTCCTTACTTGGCTAGCTCCAACTCACCTCAGAAGGCTGAGCTCAGGATCTTCTTGCTCTTAGCCTGTGTATCCCAAAGCTCTCCCTGGTCACCTCCCTCATGGCATGTGTCACCTGTAAAGCAGAATGTTTGTGTGCACGTCCCCCTCATGAAATAGTGAATTCTTCAAGAGAGAGACCCCATCTTATTTATTTTTTCACTTACAGCTGGAACAGTACCTGCATGCAATAGGTGATCAGAGACTATTTTTGGAAGGAGTTACAGGCAGAGGGCGCAGGAAGGGGAAGTGGTGGAAGCACAAAGAGACTTGACTTTAGACTGCGCAGTAACCTCAACACAGAACTTGGTGCCAGCATTTGCCTCTGTTTTCTTCTCCAGAGGGGTGACCCCCAGCAGCAGTGGACACATAGCTACTCACCTGAGAATGAGGACTCAGTGATGTCTTTGAAAATCTACAGGTGTCTGGATCAATGAGCACTGAGCATCTGCGTTTCTATGGGCAGAGAGCACTTAGAGGGAATTCTGGAAAATTTGTCTGAAGCAGTTCATGCTGTAGGACAGATTGAACCGGGATGAGCTTTTGCTTCATTCTTAGCAATTTTGAAAAATATCCTCAAATGAATAAAGATGGGGGAGACATGGAGGAGAGCTCTCTGTTTGGAAAACATTGACTGAGCTGAGTGAAGGAATAGAGAATGATGAAACAAAGAGGCCAAAGAGAGAAAAATGAAAAATAACCATGGAAACTTCACATTTACAAACCCAAAAAGTCTGAAACGTTAGTCAGGATCTTCTCCTTATACCAAAGAGGAACTGGGAAAATATAGGCCAATATTTTCATAAATTAACTTCTGTAGCATGCATGTAATCCCAAGATGATAAATGAGTGCTCCGCTTTGATAAATGGCAAGAGAGGATGGGGATTGGCTTGCCCATAAAATGGTACCAGTAAAACTGTTGGGCCCCAGATAGTGGGGCCCTGGGGGACAGATCATTGAAATGTGGTTCTATTACTAGTTGATTGGAACTCTGAGGAGTCAAAAATCGTGATTCCTAATATCCTGTAGTATCATAAAAATACATATGCATAAGATATGTTTGTTAGTTTCAAATATAATTCAAATATAAATATTTAATTTCAAAAACAATTCCACAAAGTCTTGTGTGGAACTGGGACCCAACTTCTCTTAACTCTAGTAGGTTATCCGTTTTAACCTCCTTTAATCTTGACTCTCAGAGAAGGCAACTGAATTGCTCAGCGTCACCCAGGGAGCAGAAGTGGTGAATCTGGGATATAACGCCCGATCTTCTAATTCCAAATCTGGAGCTTTTCCTAGAACTCCACAACCTTCTGAAAAACTCTAAGGAAAACCTCCCACCCCCTAAAAAATGCTGTTCTGAAAATAGAATAATATTTTATCACATTACATAAAATAGTTTCTTTTAAAATAGATAGTAATAGTACCAGACATTTAACACTCACTCTCACACACACACATTCTTTCCACTCTAAGAAAAATTAGCCATTTTAATTATCCACGTCTTCTTCTATTCTTTGTCAATATGAATGTGCAATTCTAATAAGAACATAGTTTCTTAAATATAATTTTAGATAATAATTTAGATGTATCAGTTCAAATTTACTTTCAAATACTATAAACACCTGTTCTAACTGATTTACATGGAAGTTTTTTTCCTTAATTTTTATGATAATGCTAGAAATAGAAGGAACACTTAGAGTTTGTTGAAATGCAATAAATTTTGCAGGTTAAAATGATAGACTAAGTCAAAACAGTATGCCAGATTGCTTTTTTTTTTTTATCAGTATGTAAACCATTTGTATTTTTGTAGCAAAATTAGCTTCTTAGGATGGTCAGAAATAGCCCTTTAATTTAAGAACGTACTTTTGGTGTACAGGAATGTTCTCCCCCTCACCTAAATAGCACATTTATAGCAATAATAGGAGGAACTTCTAAAGGAGCTTTTATCTGAGAAACTCGAAGAACTTTCAGGCTGTAGGCCGTTAGTCTTCAATACCTTTAATGGGGACAAACCAGGAGTGGGTATGCTGACTTTAGAGGAATGGGGCTCCCTGGGTTTTACCAAGTGCTCTCTCCTGCCACTGAGGAAACCACCTGGGAACAAAGGCCTCCTCCCGTCCCACGTTCCAGTCGTCAGCTGTGAGTTGGAAGTCTCAGCAGTCTCCAGTAAGAATTCGTTTGGGAATTAAGTTCTCATCGAGACTGGCTGTAGACTTACCCATGCAGAACTCCTGACATCACAGGTTTGCTGCCTGGTTTGAGAATTTGAGGATTATGCTCTGGATAAACGAGTTTCCAGAATCATGGAGAAATTGCTTCCAATTTATCATGACTCTTTCAACCGTCTCTTAGCAACTTGAAGATCAAGGCAAAATAATACATGGTATTGTTCTCTAAATAAATTAGAAAACATTAAAACCCCTTAAAGGATCTAAGAGGCTATGTGGCTCAATGTACTACATCAGAGATGAGGAGGCTGAGACCCAGAGGGGTTAAGGTCTGGGCCCGGCTGTAGGGCCTGCATCAGAAGTCAGGCCCCCAAGGTCCTATTCAGTTCTCTTTCTGTTAAGGTGGGGCTTCTGTTAATGCTGTCTGAATATCTATCAGAAAAACAACAAAGACAGTGGCTCTTTCATTTTCAACCCTTTCCTTTCATTGTCTTTTCTGTAGCTTCGTTGTGTTGAAGATCTTCAGACAATTCAAGTGATGAAGATTTTAAGATATGAAAAGAAACTGGCCAAAATGTGCTTTTTTATGATATTCACCTTCCTGATCTTTTGGATGCCTTACATTGTGATCTGTTTCTTGGTGGCTAATGGTTATGGACACCTGGTCACTCCAACAGTATCTATTGTTTCATATCTCTTTGCTAAATCAAGCACTATATATAATCCGATTATTTATATCTTCACGATCAGAAAGGTAAGCTTTGTAATTAACTAATTGTTTTCACCATGTGGGTAGGATTGTTTGAAAATATAATACTTTTATACAGATTATTCAGAGCAGCTTCAATGATAAAAACCTAAATCAAGAATTTTACAGGAAAGTAAAGGGTTCAGGAAGAAATATAGGATATTCCAAAAGAAAATAATAACAATTCTAAGATTTGCCAATGGAAATTTACACTTGTTAGGTATAATTCTATTAAAATTAATATTTAATTCATCAGAAAACATTTTACATCTAGTAATACTAACAGCCACAATCAAAGTTAATAATTCATGTAAAATTCTTCACTGTACTTTGCAGGTTACACCCTTTATCTTTACAAAACATCATGAAATAGGCACTAATATTATTCCTTATTTTATTTATGGATTTTGAAACAGGTTCAGAGGTTAAATAAATCGTCTGATACAGGAGTTTTTGGTTCCTGAATTTGAACCTGGTTTGCTTGACTCTCAAGAGTCCATGCTCAAAAATCCTCACTTGCGGTTATGGGTTCTGTTAGTCATTGGTTGGGGTGTTATTCACACACCACGGCCAATGTGTAGCTAAAATTAACTTGGCTCAAGAAACTTCCTCTAGATCTGCTGGGAAGCTTATTATCTGTTTCTGTAGTAGGAAGGTTTTGACTTGATGGTTGTCACTCATGCCTACAAGAGCCCTCATTATGACTGATATGAAGCAGAGCCTCTAATTTACAAAGTTTAAAGATCAGAGAATTTAAAAGTTATGAATAATGGTTCATTATGATATTGGAATTTTAAAGTAAGTCATATTAGTTACAGGCAAAATAACCACTCTGACTGCTGAAGCGTTTGGAAGAAGAGGGCACTTTTTAACCTCCCAATGTTCAGTGCTAAATCTCCTCTTTCTTCTTATGCCTTTCCTTTCTCCTGAATGTTGTTGGTTTACCTTCTCCATGAGCTTACTCTTATATGCCTTCAATTTCCTTTCACTGATGGCCTTTCTCTCCCTTTCATGTTGACTCCCATTTGTCTATTTCCTTGAACCCAGAGATGTTTAACTTGGAATCCTTAGATTCTGAGAATCACTTGAATTGGCCTCAGGAGAGCCATTGGAACTCCTGAAATTGTTTATAAATCTTTATTATTATTATCATTATTGGTTGAGGAAGATTAGCCTTGAGCTAACATCTGCTGCCAATCCTCTTTTTGCTGAGGAAGATTGGCCATCAGCTAACATCTGTGCCCATCTTCCTCTACTTTATATGTGGAATGCCTGCCACAGCATGGCTTGCCAAGCAGTGCATAGGTCTGCACCCCTGGATCAGAACCTGTGAACCCTGGGCTGCTGAAGTGTGACTTGCGAACTTCACCGCTGCACCATGAAGCCAGCTCCTATAAAACTTCTTGAGAATATGCACATGTGAATTTTTCCAGTGAGATGGTGGATTCTAGCTTTAATTTTCTGAAGGAGTATAAGATCTCCATATTTTAAGGATTGCCACCTCAACAGGCAAATAAGTACATTTTAAATATAATAACTAACAATTATTTTTTGTGTCCTTTCTCTGGGCCAATGGGCTATAAACCAGTGTTTTTAAAACTTAAATGTGCATACATTGCAACTGTAGATCTTGTTAAAAAAAGTGTGTATTTCTGACTCAGCATGGTCAGGGTGCCCAAGATTCTGCATTTCTAATGTAGTCTAAAAAACATAATAAACAAACAAGTAAAACAGTGGTCCTTACCCTCAATGAGTTTACCATTTATAGGAGAAAACATTTGTTGACATACATACTGTATTTAATCCTTAGAATAATGAATCTTTAGCACTTGACATACGAAACAATAGTTTGGTGAATAAATGAAGTCTCACACAAATATTTTTAAATGTGAGTATAAACTAAATGCTAACTCGTATATAAATGGAGTTCAAAGAAGACAGAAATCAACGTAGCTATTTATTATATTTTTCATTGACATTTCCTGATCTGGGAAAGCCCATGTATTACCATTTTATTTCGCTCTAAACAAAGGGAATAAAAATTAAATTAAGTAACTTTGTATTTATGTTTTATTGGTTATGATAGACTAACTATTGTAACAAAAAACCCTAACATTTCAATGGATTAGCAAGAAAGAGTTTATTCCTCATTCAGATCAGAGTCCACGGTCCAGGGTATTTGGTGGAGATGGGATCTGCTCCATGCAGTCACGTAGGAATCTAGGTTTCTTCCATGCTGTGATGTTACCATCTTCAGACCTTGACCTCCAAGGTTCTAGTAGAAGGAGAAGAGCACAGAGGAGCCCCTGAAAGGGGGCAGAGAAATATGGTTCAGTGTTGTACCCGGGACACAGAGATGAGTCATGGGTGCTGGTGAACACTAGCACTCTCTGCTGTAGTCTTTTTTTCTCCAATTGATTCATAATCTTGATGGAAAAAAAAAAAATTCTTCACCTAATTAAGGGAACATAAGTGAGTTCACTAGGCTGTAAACTATGCCAGGAAGGGCCTGTCTGTCTTTGCTGCCCACAATATCCCCAGATTGTAGCACAGTGGCTGTCACCAGTAGGAGCTCACTGAATATTTGTGAATATCCCTCAGAGACATAGATCTAGCTGCCCTCCTAAAAGGTGCGCACAACTTGAATCTATGGAGATTATGAAGTATTGAAATATTCCTATGTGGTCTGGTTAAGAAGAATTATAAGAAATAAAAGACATGAAAGAAACTCCAGGGTTGCTTAGCTAGATCTGAGCATTACTACCTTAACCAACACCGACATAAGCTGACAAATTTTTTTTAAAACCCCAATTAAATTCAACTAATTTTCTTGAATGTTAATCCAGATTAAGGGCCAAACTTCTACTTAATATTCAACTTTATTCTCTCTCTGCCCAGTTTCGAAGATCCCTTTCGCAGCTCCTCTGTTTCCGACTGCTGAGATGCCAGCGGCCTGCTAAAGACCAACCACCAGTTGGCAGTGAAATGCAGATCAGACCCATTGTGATGTCACAGAAAGACGGGGACAGGCCAAAGAAAAAAGTGACTTTCAACTCTTCTTCCATCATTTTTATCATCACCAGTGATGAATCACTATCAGTCCACGACAGTGACAAAATCAATGGGTCAAAGGTTGAAGTAATACAAGTTCGTCCTTTATAGGAATGGCTAATAATAATGAAAGACGGGGCCTTATGTCGGACACCGCTTTTAGATTTCCATTACAAGGACTATTTGGGAGTCACTCCCCATCTATGTAATATCAACAGAACTTTGGTGGCCCAGCAGGAAATCCGAACTGCCCATGTGCTCTCTGGCTTCCAGTAGCAATCGAGCAAGACAAATTCTTTTAATTCAATGGGTGCTTTACATAATGACAAACCAGTTGTGGCACAAGATGGATGTCTGGCACCATCAATTTCTAACATGTTGGAAATTTTCATTTCAAATATAGTTTTTAAATGACCATATTTCCCAAGGCACATAATACATTTGTCTCAGATATTTAGGTGTAAAAATAACTTTGTCTCGCACACAGGTGTGAAATAGCTAGAAAATCTTGAATTTCCCGTAGTGTTGGGTCCTATTTAGTGTCACGTCAAATGTTTGGCCAATCACATTTATGAAAGAGACAATTCTAGGATGAAAAAGAAAATCTCCTAACTTTACCTGGAACAAAAGACTGTTGCTGTATGTGTAGTATGATAAAGAGGAATTTCGGATGAATGTGCTGCTGAGCAAGCTCTAGAAGACACTACTGAAAGTATCACAGCAAAGAAAATAGGATGGTGAATTTCAAGGTAAAATCGTGGTGTATAGGTAATCATACATTAGTAGAGGATGTACACGGAGAAGATGGTGTTGGTGACAGATAGGCATATATTTCATTTTAAACAGGACCATGGCAGGGTTACCCTCTCCTTTGAATAATTTCCCACAATTTAGCCAAGCGTTCTGCATTTAGAAAAGGAGTTCCAAGCAAAAAACCAAACAAACCTACATTTGAAGGGAGATGAAAGTAAGTGTAGAACTGTAGTCATAAAATGTGATATTTAATCTTCTTTGCTCTTCAGTCAGTTCATTGGGTGATTAATGGTCAGTGTTAGTGAAGAGGCCATTTTTCCATGAGTCGTTGTTTAGACTAAACATGGATTATCAGAGCTCAAGGATTTCTTTGACAATATGGAAAAGAAACACTGAATCATTTCATTTTATTGCCTAATTTTTATTTCTTAGGTGACTGTCCTACTGGTCTTCATAATTAATCATGTTTGAAAGACTTCTACATGATTTAGTCGGCCCATTGAAGAAGGAAGAGTGAAAGAAAACATTTTCACTACATGAACTTTTAAAACTCAAGTTTATTGCTGGCTCTGCCACAGCCTGTAGCTCAAGCATAAGTCGGTAAATTGCTTCTGAGAGTCTGAAATGGAATGAAATATGACTTCATAGTTCTGCAAAGACTGTCTCCCCTTGTTTCCTCTCCACTCTCTTGTTTAAGTAGATATTTAATTTATCACTAAAACCCTCCCTATCCTTCACTTAGTATGGCATTAATAGCCTGTTTTCAATCTTCAGAAGGTAATACTGGCATTTGAAGACTGGGAAATAAAATCCATTCATTTTGTACTCTCTAGAGCACCCGAATTCCTCATTTACATTTCTAGTTTTATCAGGTGAATCTGAGCCCTGTGCTTAGGTCAGTTCCATCCAGGTGATGAAAGTGTGGTTTACATATTAGGCAAATTGTAATTTTTAGTCCAGGGTGTTGAGTCAATCCTTTCGTGACCTCTATTGTTTCCTTTAAAGAAAAATTGTGATCAGTGTCTTCTTTGAGGCTTCTGGGGCCTTACTTTTTGAGAAGTGAAAGACATCTTGGTCATTACACTGTTACTATATTTAGAATGACCGGGCTTCAGCATAGTGATGTGGGGAAGTTGCGTGTTGCAACTTAAAGTGGTGGGTGGGTTTTTTCCCCAATAATTGCAATGAACACACAGAGAAATTCTACATTGAATTTAATTATAAGCTGACAAATATCTTCCATTAGTGAATTAAATATGGTGATGGAAACATGGTTTTGATCCTTAGTTTTGATTACAGAGAAATCAAGTATTTGCTACTTCAAAACCTTTATATCACCTGCTATTGACTTCATCCTGTATTCTGGAAGTAAGTGACCCAGTCCCATGGTCTTCTCAAGTAGTCCAGGGTTCTCGGTGACATGCAGCGCGTAAGTAGGTAGGTACTGCTGATGGCTATCAGTGTTCCGAAGAAAAAGAGTCCTTTGTTTATCACCTGCAAAGACAGCAAGAACTCTCGTTTTATTTGTCCAGAGATTGAAGTCTTGAAACAGACTTCATTCTTCAAAGACGTTGTAAGCAAGTTCCTCTTTCTTCTTTGACCTGAAACAGCAATGTAATTGCATGACCATTAGGTCATGTACTGCAGTGTTGGCGCTTCCCTCCTCTCTCTCTTCCCAGAAACAGCTGAATCTGTGTTCTATGTAAGGAATTCTTAGCAGTCAGCCTGTGTACAGCCGTAAAAAACCAACATACAACCCCCCCCCCCCGCCACAGTTTAGAAAAAAGAGCCATGAACTCTGTCTTAGAAGAGTCCTGTGCTAAAGCCACAGCCAGTTCAGTCTCTGCTGCAACCCTATGCAAAGTCCCCATGAGAAGAGTGATGGGCCTGGTGATCTCTGTGACTCAGATGACATACACACCCAAAGACTTTAAACATGGCATCTTCACCACCTGCAGTATATCAACAACATGAGGTGAGGCTCATTCTAGCCTGGATTAGGTGCCCTCCTGTATCATCGTGGCCTCTTTCTGTCACTGAACTTACTGCCTGCATTCGAACTGCCTGTCACTGTCTGTTTCCCCTGCCAGGCTTTTAGCTACTTGAGGTCAGGGACCCTATTTTATTCATCTTTGTATGAATAAGTCTAGATTCCTTCCAATCCATTGTCCACACAGCAAAGTAATCTTTCCAAAATCCGCACCTGAGTCTATTAGCCTCCCTCAGTCTCCCTGTTTCCCTCAAGGTAATATTAAACATCTTTAAGGCCCTGCTTACCATTCCAGCTCCACCTGTGGCCGTTCTCACATGGACCTGTTGCCTTCCAGCTCCATCAGAATACTCGCCATTCCCAGTCTGGACATGGGAGAGGTTTCTTCAGCCTCCCCTGTCCTGGCCCACCCCCGTTCTCTCCAGGGCAGTGTGTGCCTCTCCACTGCAATTGTCCATCTCCCCCACTAGTCTCTGAGCTGTGTGAAGGTCAGGGACTGCTTCTTATTCATCATCATGTCCAGCTCAGTGTCTACACACTAAATAAAACTATTTGTTGAATGAATGAAGTCGTAAAAACTCCAAAGTCGAAAATCAGGAATCTCAATGTCCACTTACTGTCATCTCTGGGTCAGCTGCCCAAAATAACTGTGGCATGGCATTACATTGTGTTTTAAAAGTGATTGAATTCTGTCTAGTTTTACAAACTAAACCCGTAAGAGTATTGCGTGGGGCAAAAGTCATCATTAAATAAAAGTAAAAAGTCACATTGCTGAAATAAAAAGTTTAGAAATACTACCATCAATTTCTTTTTTCAATTTCTTCCCTTCAAAAGCTCTCTCTCTCTCCCTCTGCCTCTTATTTGTAATTTTGTTTGTCAGGCACTCTGCCTTCTACCCACCCAAGGCATTTTTTATTTGCAGGCAAACATTTGGTGTCAATCCCATCATGTCTGTGTTTGCCTGAGGTAAACATGACCATAACAATATAAGCTTCAAGACATCAGATTAAAAATAAAAGTGTAATCTGTTCCAACCTTTTTTTGCCAATGCCAGCGCAACACAGCCTCATGGTATCTTATTCTGGAAAAGGTGACCTGTAAGGAAATTTGAAAAGTGTTCTTTAGTGACTAAACATAAGATTAAAGTGAAGAAAAGTCTTACATCTATGTCTTACCATGGTATAGAGAGGAATAAACGTTGATGGCATAATGGCATGAAGAAATCTCTCAATATTCTTTTGGAAGATGAACCACCTTGAGTTGACATGTGCTCGCATCTGCAAAAAGGTAAGAGTCTTATAGAATACCTTGAACAAAGTACCTTTATTTCTTTACTATAACTTATTATTGTTCTTCATTCCCATTCATTACAAGGCCAGACACAAAGTAGTCACATAAATTCTTATTTCCTTAGCAGTCATTCCCAGTCCTTTTTAGTAAATGTCAATGGTATAGGACATTACCTTGAAAAGAAAGAATAACCGTACAAAACCTGTTAGAGAATTCTGTTTTGCTCAGGCAGAGGGTTTGTTTAGCTGGATCTGCAGGCAGTCTGTGAGCTCAAATATTTGACTAATTGCTGTTGCTTCCTGGTTGTGTTTATCGCAAGGAGGAATCTGTTTAAAGCTGTGTTTTTCTTGACCTACTTCATATTCAGGACAAATATTGTGTTGTAGCTATATTATTTTTAAAGACACAGGCAAGGTACATCAATGAAGGCTTTTCAGTATCTTATAGAACTTTCTTCACCACCTATGAAAAAATCTGCTCAAGTTGAAGTCCATTTTATTTTTTCTGTCTTCAGGAGAGATGGAAAATAGCTACACTCCTTTCTTTAAATTTATCTTGTAGGAAGAGGGTGTCAAGATGGCAGTGTAGGTGGCTTCTGAACTCACCTCCTCCCACAAACACAAAGTTATAACTATTTTTGGAAAAATTACCCCTAAGAGATAACTGAAAACTGGATTAAAAGAACCCCCACAATAAAGGACAGTCTTGACTGAGGTGGAAGAGGCAGAAATTCCTGTCTGGAGAGAAAAAAGCCACCTTCGCAAGCCATGGAGCTTCACAGCTGCCTGGCCAAGAGCTACCCTAAGGTACCCAGCCTTACCTGGAGGAGTGGGGGACCTGAGCAGGGGAGTGTTGCCACTATAAGCATTCTTCGGACTCAGCACAACTGAGACAAGTCTCATAATAGCTGGCTTTGCTTGGTTTTAACTACAGCAGGGAATACACCCAGAAAAGATATGGGACATAAGCAGAAAAAAGCCAGCTCTTAGAGGGCCTACATATAAATTCACCCATTTTGAAGAGCAACCTAAAATCACCAGAAAGAAAGGCGCACAGTCCTTTGGTGAACAGAGACACACCTGGTAGGCTCTGGGTGCATCTTGGTGAGAGGTGAGACCTCTCCAGGGACTGAGACATTGGTGGCAGCCATTATTGTGACCTAGTACAGGTGTGCTGACTCAGACAGTGACAGATGCCATTGGAAGTCTTCCCCTGGCCTGTTAGCCAAGGGTCTGCCCCATCTGCTAGACCACCAATTTAATTCAGCTCAGCCAAGGCAGGCAGCCCTCCCAAGGGACTGGCCCCACCAAACAGAAAGCCACTGAGCAACTCTTTGGCCTGCATAGACTGGGTGACTGGATCCTCTGCAGGCAGGTGAGTGGGTCCCCCTCTGTGGGGCAGGGTGTGTGTGAGGAGTGGGTGGAGAGTGTGGGACATTGGTGTAGTGTGTGTGGGCCTCTGCAGTGGGGCAACTGGGTCCACTCCAGCAGATCAGGAAGTGTACGTGGGCCAGGACTGTGGTGACAGTGGGTGTGGACCTGTGAGCTGTGGGGCTTATCAGTGGCAGAGGCCTGTGCTTTTCAAACAGCCACATAGGGGATTAGCCTCACCTTCCAAAGCCTGAAATAATTGGGTATGCCTGTCCCAGGGGCCAGCCCCACTCAACTGAAATCCTGAGAGAACTGACAACAGCCTTGCAGGCCAGAGGCCTACAGCAATTTTAAGCCCCTAAACTTAGCAACCAGCCATACTGGGGACCTACTCACTTAACAGAAAAAGTTCAACAGGAATGTGCTACTAGACCTTGCAGCCAACTGTGCAGGGGCTCCCCAAACCTGACAAACTGACTGAAGGGTCCATAGCAGCTGAGCACTATAAACAGCTGGCCAGGGAGGGAAAGCCTAGACTTCCTGGGAACCTGCAGCAAGAGCAACCCTGCCACAACAGAAGGACACATGTAGCCCACAAAGGGGTCACTCCTGGAATGCTTGGAACTGGTGATGAGAAGGAAGCACACTGCTGGGCCTCATAAGGCATCTTTTACATGAGGATATCTATCCAAGATTGGGAGATGTAGCTCACCTACCTATCACATAGATATAAGCACAGAGAAAGAGGCAAAATGAGGAGGCAAAAGAATATGTTCCAAGCAAGGGAACAAGACAAAACCCTAGAAAAAGAACTAAATGAAACAGAAATAAACAAGCTAGCTGGCAAGGAGTTCAAGCAAAAAGTCATAAGGATGCTCACCAATCTTGGGAGATGAATGGATGAACACAGTGAGAATGTCAACAGAGAATTGGAAAATATAAAAAAGAACCAATCAGAAATGAAGAATACAATACTGGAAATGAAACATTCACTAGAGGGACTTGATAGCAGATAGATGATACAGAAGAACGGATCAGTGAACTGGGTAAAAGACTAGAGGAAATCACCCAAGCTGAACAGATAAAAGAAAAAAGAATTTAAAAGAATGAGGACCATCTAAGGGACCTCTGGGACAACATCAAGCACACTAACATCTGTATTATAGATGTCCCAGAAGGAGAAGAGAGAGACAAAGGGGAAGAGATTCTATCTGAAGAAATGATAGCTGAAAACTTTCCTAACCTAAGCAAGGAAACAGACATCCAAGAATAGGAAGCACAGAGAGCACCAAACAAGATAAACCCAAAGAGGCCCACACCAAGACACATTGTAATTAAAATGCCCAAAATTAAAGAGAGAATCCTAAAAGCTACAAGAGAAAGGCAACAAGTAACACACTAGGGAAACCCCATAAGGCTATCAGCTGGCTTCTCAGCAGAAACCTTACAACCTAAAGGAGTAGCATGATATATTTAAAGTTCTGAAATGAAAAAACCTATAGCCAAGAATACTCTACCTAGCAAGGCTACCATTCAGAATGGAAGAGAGAGTTTCCTAGATAAGAAAAAATTAAAGGAGTTTATCACCTAGAAACCAGTTTTACAAGAAATGCTAAAGGGACTTCTTTAAGTGGGAAAAAGACCACAAATAGGAATAAGAAAATTACCAAAAAGAAAGAAAGAAAAGCAATAAAATCACTGGTAAAAGCAAAAATACAGTAAAGGTAGCAGATCCACCACCTATGAAGATACTGTGAAGGTCAAAAGACAAAAGTACTAAAATTACCTATTTCAATGATAAGAGGGTAATGGAAAGACACACACAAAATAAGAGGTTAGATATGATATCAAAAACATAAAATGTGGGAGGTGAGGAGTAAAAGAGTAGAGCTTTTAGAAAGAGGTCAAACTAAAGAGACCATAAACTCAATATAGATTGCTATATATGTAATTATTATGTATGAACCTCACAGTAATCACAACCCAGAAACCTATAATAAATACACAAAAAATTAAGAGAAAGGAACACGAACATAATATTAAGGAAAGCCATCAAACCACAAGGGAAGAGAGCAAGAGAAGAAGAAAGGAACAGAGGAAAGCTACTGAAACACCCAGGAAAAAAGTAACAATATGGCAATAAGTACATATTTATCAATAGCTACTTTAAATGTCAACAGAATACATGCTCCATTCAAAAGGCATAGGGTGGCCAATTGGATAAAAAAACACGACCTATATATATGTTGCATACAAGAGACACACTTTAGACCTAAAGACACTCACAAACTGAAAGTGAAGGGATGGAAAAAGATACTCCATGCAAATGGCAAAGGAAAGAAAGCTGGGATAGCAATACTTATATCAGACAAAATAGACTTTAAAACAAAAACTGTAACAAGAGACAAAGAAGGGCACTACATAATGATAAAGGGAACAATCCAACAAGAGGATATAACACTTGTAGATACCTATGCACCCAAGATAGGAGCATCTAAATATATAAAGCAATTATTAACAGACACAGAAGGGAAACAGTAACACAATAGTAGTAGAGGTCTTTAACACTCCACTTACACCAATGGATAGATCATCCAAACAGAAGATCAATAAGTAAACATTGGCCTTAAATGATGCATTAGAACAGACAGATGGACTTAGTAGATACATATAGAACATTCTATCCAAAAACCACAGAATATACATTCTTTTCAAATGCACGTGGAACATTCTCCAGGATTGATCACATATTAGGCCATAAAACAAGTCTCAATAAATTTAAGAAGATTGAAATAATACCAAGCATCTTTTCTGACCAGAAAAGTATGAAACTAGAAATCAACTACAGGAAGAAAATTAGAAAAGCCACAAATATGTGTAGATTAAACAAAATGCTGCTGAACAACAAGTGCATCAAGGAAGAAATCAAAGTAGAAATAAAAAAATATCTGGAGACAAATGAAAATGAAAGTAGGACATGCAAAATCTATGGGATACAGCAAAAATGGTTCTAAGAGGGATGTTTGTAGCAATTCAGACCTACCTCAACAAACAAGAAAAATCCCAAATAAACAATCTAACAGTGCACCTAAAGGAACTGGAAAAAGAAGAACAAACAAAGCCCAAAATCAGTGGAAGGAAGGAAATAATAAAAATTGGAGCAGAAATAAATGAAATAGAGACTGAAAAAACAATAGAAAAAAATCAATGAAACCAAGAGCTGGTTCTTTGAAAGATAAATAAAATTGACAAACTTTTAGCTAGACTCACCAAGAAAAAAACAGAAAAGGCTCAAATAAATGAAATCAGAGATGAAAGAAGAGAAATTACAACAGGCACTTCCAAAATACAAAAGATTATAAGAGAAAACTACGAAAAGCTATATGCCAACAAATTGGATAATCTAGAAGGGATAAATTCTTAGAATCATACAACATTCCAAAACTGAATCAAGAAGAAGTAGAGAATTCAAATAGACCAATCACCAGTAAGGAGATCACAGTAATCAAAAACCTCCCAAAAAATAAAAGTGCAGGACCAGATGGCTTCCCTGGTGAATTCTACCAAACATTCAAAGAGGCTTAATACCTATCCTTTTCAAACTCTTCCAAAAAATTGAAGAGGATGGGAAGCTTCCTAACTCATTCTACAAAGCCAACATTACCCTGATACCAAACCAGAAAAGGACAACACAAAAAAAGGCAATTAGGCCAATATCACTGATGAACATCGATGCAAAAATCCTCAACAAAATACTGGCAAATTGAATACAACAATACATTTAAAAGATCATACACCATGATCAAGTAGGATTTATTCCAGGGATGCAGGGATGGTTAAACATTGGCAAATAAATAAACATGATACACCACATCAACAAAATGAAGACTAAAAATCACATGATCATCTCAATAGATGCAGGGAATGCATTTGACAAGATACAGCATCCATTTATGATAAAAACTCTCAATAAAGTGGATATGAAAGGAAAGTACCTTAACATAATAAAGGCCATATATGACAAACCCACAGCTAATATCATTCTCAATGGAGAAAAGCTGAAAGATATCCCCCTAAGAACAGGAACCAGACAAAGATGCCCACTTTCACCACTCTTATTTAACATAGTATTGGAAGTCTTAGCCAGAGAAATCAGGCAAGAAAACAAAATAAAAGGGATCCAAATGGAAAAAGAAGAAGTGAAACTGTCACTATTTGCAGATGACATGATTTTATACATAAAAAGCCCTAAAGAATCCACTAAAAAATTTTAGGAATAATAAATGAATATGGTAAAGTTGCAGGATACAAAAATCGGTTGTTTTTCTATACACTAACAGCGAAGTAGCAGAAAGAGAAATTAAGAATACAATCCCATTTACAATTGCAACAAAAAGAATAAAATACCTAGGAATAAACGTAACCAAAGAAGTGAAAGATCTGTACGCTGAAAACTATAAAACATCATTGAAAGAAATTGAAGAAGATACGAAGAAATGGAAAGATATTCCATGCTCTTTGATTGGAAGAATTAACATAGTTAGAGTGTCCATACTTCCAAAAGCAATCTATAGATTCAATGCAATCCCTATCAAAGTTCCAACAACATTTTTTCACAGAAATAGAACAAAGAATCCTAAAGTTTATATGGAACAACAAAAGACCCCAAATAGCCAAAGGATTCCTGAGAAAAAAGAACAAAGCTGGAGGTATGACACTCCCTGATTTCAAAATATACTACAAAGCTATAGTAACCAAAATGGCATGGTACTGGCACAAAAACAGACACACAGATCAATGGAAGAGAATCGAGAGCCCAGAAATAAACCCACACATCTATGGACAGCTAATTTTCCACAAGGGAGCCAAGAACATACAATGGAGAAAAGAAAGTCTCTTCGATAAATGCTGTTGGCAAAGCTGGACAGCCACATGCAAAAGAATGAAACTAGACCATTATATTACACCATACACAAAGATTAATTCAAAATGGATTAAAGACTTGAATGTAAGACCTGGAACCATTAAACTTCTAGAAGAAAACATAGGCAGCATGCTCTTCAACATTGGTCTTAACAGCATATTTTCGAGTAGCATGTCTGACCAGGCAAGGGAGACAATAGAAAAAATAAACAAATGGGACTACATCAAACTGAAAATCTTCTTCACAGCAAAGGAAACCATTAACAAAATGAAAAGACAGCCTAACAACTGGGAGAAGATATTTGCAAACCATATATCTGATAAGGGGTTAATATCCAAAATATATAAAGCACTCATACATCTCAACAACAATAAAACTAACAACCCAATTAAAAAATGGGCAAAAGATCTGAACAGATATTTTTCCAAAGAAGATACACAGATGACCAACAGGCAAATGAAAAGATGTTCAGCATCACTAACTTCAGGGAAATGCAAATCACATCTGCAATGAGATATCACCTCACTCTTATCAGAATGGCTATAATTAACAAGACGGGAAACAACAAGTGTTGGAGAGGATGTGGAGAGAAGGGAACCCTCGTACACTGCTGGTGGGAGTACAAGCTGATGGAGCCACTATGGAAAACAGTATGGAGTATCCTCAGAAAATTAAGAATAGATCTACCATATGATCCAGCTGTTCCGCTGCTGGGTATGTATCCAAAGAACATGAAAACGTGAATGCGTAAAGATATATGCACATTATTCACAATAGCCAAGACTTGGAAGCAACCTAGGTGCTCATCAAGGGATGAATGGATAAAGAAGATGTGGTATATGTACACAATGGAATACTACTCAGCCATAAGAAATTATTAACATAGCTGGAACTTGAGGGCGTTATGCTAAGTGAAATAAGTCAGAGGAAGAAAGTCAAATACTGTATGATTTCACTCATAAGTAGAAGATAAAAACAATGACAAACAAACACGTAGAAAGAGAGATTGGATTAGTGGTTACCAGAGGAAAAGTGGGGAGGGAGGAGGGCAAAAGGGATGATTAGACACATATGTGGTGATGGATTTTAATTAGTCTTTGGCTGGTGAACATGATGTAATCTACACAGAAATCAAAATATATAACGATGTACACCTGATGTTTATATAACATTATAAACCCCTGTTACGCAATTAAAAAAGAACTTAAAAAGTTTATCTTGTAAATTTTTTAATTTGAGTATTTAAAAACTGTAACCTTAACCATTTACCGTGAGCTCTTCATGTGACTGGCTCAAAATGGAATTGTGTTTTTCTTCTGAGCATTAATCTTCTGACCATCAATTTCTTTGGTATTACATATTTTTTTCAGTGTTTAAGGCCCCAAAGATAGTCAATGGTGCTCTAAGTCTGCAGCTTATAATGTTAAGAATGGAAAGGTCATTAACGTTTCTTAGATTTCCAAATATGTCAACAAATATCAAAGTTATATTTTCATTAAAATAGCATATTACCTGCTGTACTAAGTATCTAAGGTTTGAACCTGTGAATTATCAGAGATTGAAACCAGACGTTGTGTCATCTTTGTTTCCTCCTAAATGTCCCTGAAATGTGGATAGAGATGATGTGTGTGCACCATTGTCACCGTCCACATAGTCACAGTCTACCCACGTGTAAGGAATACTGTATGTGGGTGTTCTTTTTGTACCTACTTATGCAGCATGCATGAGATGGGGCTGGAGCAAAGAAAAATTAAAGAACGTTTGTTAGAATATCAGTCAAGGATCTCATGGAATAAGCCAAACTCCTCACTCACCTCTATGTAATTGTACATGGATAGGTCCGAAATTGCATGGTCATCTGGAATTCTAAATCTTGAGAATTCAGGAAGACACATACCTAGGATGTATTATTTAAATTTAAACCAAGTTAAATAACACATCATTTCCAGAACAGTTTATAAAAAGGTGCTGGACTCTACATGGGCCAAATTAAATGGTGTAGTCTCTACCAATGTTCTCTAACCTTTTAAAACTAGGGGTAACCAGGCTGGATGACCAAAAATCTGTGAACACTGAGCAATAACGCATAGGCATTTCCTGTTATGATTAAATAAAACTTATGATCAAGTTAATATTATATGCATTTGTTGATTAGTAAATCAATATTTTCCTTATTTCCAAATGGAAAGCAGTTCCTATAAATCACTGTAAATGACCCCCGGTCCTGCTTATAATTTGTGAGTCTCCTTTTTTATCCCCCTTCCCCAGCGCATGCACATTTGTTTCATTGCACCTAAGACATCTTATTAGCTTAAACATCAGCTCCCCCCGTTATTCTGTGAGTTCCCAGAGGCATGCCCCATGTTTTACTCATGTTTGAAATCCTAACCTGGTATATAGTAAATACTGAATAAATATTTGATAAATTAATGACTAATATCACTTTCACATGGCCAAGCAACTGTAGTCATTATGCTGCCATCTCTCAAGTCAGGGAACCTGGCTGCAAGTCTCAACTTCACCACTTCCTGACTACGTGACCCTGGGCAGGTTATTGAACCATTGCTAAGCTTAAATTTCCTCAGTTGTAAAATAGGGACAAAAATAGTAGCTATGCCCCATATTTTTGATGAGGAGCAAGTGAAAAAATACATGAAAAAATAGTATGATACCCAACACATGAAATGATCAGTGATGGTAGTTATTTACGTCATAATTATTATTGTTTTATCTTTGCTCTCTAGTAACCAAAACTAGTATGACAGAATGTTCTGATAATGAACCCTCCATCAGTCTCCATCACCGTTATCACATGCAGGCCAATCACAGAGGGCCAAGAAGGGAGCAGCAAAACGCCTCTGGATCTGAGCATCTGAGTGAGATGACAGGGAAGGAAAGGAAGACAACTGGAAGAAACTTGCCCTGGACCCTGTGACCTCTGCAGATCCAGGCACCGCGGTGTCCAGTGACTTCCTCTAACACCATAGCAAATGTTCAGTGTGAACTTTGCACCAGGCTTTTTTAAAAAAGCTCCACACGAGTCATTGTATTTAATCTTCACAGCCTTCTGAAGTCGGTGTTATTTATCACGCACTTTATAAATGGAAAATAACCCAAAACCTGAGACTTTAAAAAGAGGAAGTGACTTGCTCAAGGTCACACAACTAATAAGTTGGTGAGTCGGGACTGGAGTCTGGGTGTAGGTTTAAAGCCAGTTCTGAGTCTCTCCTTTCCCGGAAGTAGGTTTAACCTCAGAGGCAGCCTCGGGGAGCAGTCACGGTGACCTGGTTCTCAGGCCATTGTTTGCCATTTCTTTTACAGATGAAAATTGAGTACACTTAATTGCATTTAATTTTAGAATTACACATAGATATTTCAAACTTCAATATTTATAAAACTAATATATTGGCAGAATCAATTTTAATCAAAAGGCGAAAAATGGAAGCATCTTTTGATAAGAAGGATGCAACTTTTGATAAGGCAAAGAGCAAAAAAGCACTGGCGCTCCTAAAGGTGTTTCTGAGGGCCTGCCGGATGGGGTGCAGGCAGGGTGATGCCTAGGTTGAAAGGGAGAGAAACAAACATGTCTTGGCCAAACTTTGGTCCTTGGGACTTTCATCTTTGTGTGGATCACTGCGTAGACCTCTGTGTACAAACCTTGAAAGAAACCGGGTTTCCCTCTCTGAGCTCTCCTTGTCTGATATGGGCAACAACAGTGGCACAGGCTGTTCAGAGAGAAATTTATAATCCTGGGCAGGAAACAAGCATCGTGGGTTTGTGGTCACCCAGGATCAGACATAGGCCTACGATTAATCAGCAGCTGCTCCATGTTCATTTGAGAAATTGTACTTACTAAGGTCATTATTGAATTTATCCATTAACTCATCAAATACCAAGCAGTCTTCAAAGCCCTGCAATGTAAAAAAAGGGGGAAAAAATAAACTGCAAATAATAAAATCTCAGCAACTTTGAGCAGATCTTCTATTGGTGAGTGTAATTTATAGGATATTTACCTCAAAGCACACACCAACCAAGTAGTCACACTGGGCATTGAATTATGATTATAAAAGACTGTGTCCCGGATGATTTTGTCTCTGCCCAATTTCCATATGTATTGATTATAATGATTTGGATTTTGATCAAAATTTTAAATGACCGTTGTAATTTTGATGCGTTCCATTGCTTCTTCAAGAAGCCAGGATAATTATGTTGTTCTCCTATGAACAACATAGTAGAATTATTTTGGAATTATATTTTGGAATTATATTTAAACTGTTCCGGTCTTTAAGATTCACCTTTAGAGCTATCTAATGACTGGATAGAACTCTCATATTAATTTAGTTCCTATAAGCCAAAATTAAAGCAAATTTCCAATATGAAGAAGTCCATACAATGAGTGGGGTACTATTCTAAATGTAGTCGGGGAGAAGGAAATCAGCGCGAGTTTTCCTGCTCTTTAGGAATTCAAACTATAATTTTAAAGACAGTATAAAAATACATAAAAGTTAAAAGGTAAGATATTTTTCACATCAATTATAGAGATTACACCTGAAAAAAATAAATTTATTTGTCAATTATATATGACTGTTCATACTAGAGAAATTTAGAGAGGAGAGATACCATATAGGGCTGAGATAATAGCACTTTTAAATCCTTATTTAATGAATTCATTTAGTCCCCGAGAATCTCTATGAGGTAAGCACTGTTAAAATCCAAGTTTTGTAGGTAAGGAAGTAAAGACGAGTTAAATTAGTTGTGCGAGAAAATATTTTAACAAATCCTGTACCAGGGTTTAAACCTGGGCCTTCCCACGTCAGAGGCCAGGCACTCCCCGGCCATGCTAAAACTGATGTGTCCTTATGTTTTCACAAAACAAAATGTTTACCACTGCTTTGTAGAAAATGTAATTGATCAGATTCACAAGCTATTTATACTTGGAATATATCCCAATCACCAAAACAACAGGTGACTAATGACCATAAAGCTATCAGTTAGCAAACAAATGCACATGAAATAATTGCCTGTCTAGACAATTATTTTAGGACCCCTTGAAATTAATGTTTAATGTTTGAACACTATTTCTTTTCTGAAGTATTTTTCTAACTAACATGGTAAAATTTCCATGAAAGCGGTAGGATTCGATGTCTAATCTGTTTTCATAGATTAAGTTAGCCCTGTCAATTGTGTTTTCCTTTCCTCTGTGAAAGAAAAACGGAGGAAAAAAACAGATAATTTGGGATCTTTTTCTTTCTTTGATACTAATATATACACTCATGCATAAACTCTAGAAAAAATCTATTTAAAAAATTGTCTGGAATTGCCGATAGCCTAGTTTTCAAATTTCAAGCTATCGTTACATTTTCTAACTGAACAGAATACTATCTTATGCTTTCTACTTTTTTCTACATTAAATTACTAGATCAAGTAATCTAAGACTTGACCATAGTTAGTGATCCATTTAGTTCAACAGTTGGTATGATTGTTAAATTGATCGTTTTCTCAGAGATTATGTGGGGATAGTTTTAGACATGTTTTTTATTTAAGACTTTTTAGTTGAGACTGACCCAGAAGAAGTTCAGGGCCTTAGCTGAACAAGAACTTACCGCATTCATTCCTTGCCCGAAGAAGGGCACGATGGCGTGGGCCGCATCTCCCAGCAGCACACAGTGTGATTTAAAGTGGAAAGAAGAGCACTTGACAGATATCATGGGCTGGGCGGGCAGCAGAAAGAAATCTTGTGTCAGGGCTCGCCTTCAGAAGAAAATAATCAGAATGGGAAGACATTAAATTGGGTATTAAGTACTGCACAATTCTTTCAGATTTGCTGACTTTATTACCATAGAATCTTATTGACAAACACACCAGAATGCCAGGAAGAAAACAGGAAAGGGAGAAACTGAAGATCTTCCAGCCCCCCAAGTCCATGTTCTAAATACCTTCTTGGTTTACAACAATGCTAATCACATCCAAAAAAGAACAAGTTTGCCTACCTTTGAATAACTTGAACTACATCTGTGCTATATGTCATGAAAATTCCATTATCACGGGCATGGGTCATGCAACTTTCAAATACATTGGTGTGTTTTGGGTTTTCATGGAAAAATCGAGGTGCTATTGTGCCTTTGATTACACCAGAACAAATCACAATTAAAATGAATGTGAATTTCTATGTATTTGGAAATGGATAATCGTGTTCAAGCTAGTGTTTGTCAGGCATCTATGGAGGTTTTACGGAAACTATAAGTAGAGAAACAGTATCTACACTCAAGGATATTAAATCTTCCTGGAGAGGCAAGAAATAGCCACAGAACAAGTTTTTAAAGTACGTAAGGGCTACATTTTGGTGTGCAGAGATTTCCCTTCCAGGTGGCGGAGGGAGAGATCAGTGCAGACAATGGAATTAGTCTGCAGGAAAGGATGAGAACCGACAATTTTTCAAAGAACGGCAATGGGCTGGCAGTGGGCCCTCCCTTTTACATAATGAGCTCATTTAGTTTTCACAACTGCCCTAAAAGGGAGGTATCATGATGCCCATTTTAAAGATGAAAAATCTGAGACTTAAGGAAGTAAGGGGCAGAAGCAACAGTAAAATTTTCTTTTTTCTGCAGCATTGTGCTGCCTCTGTAAAGACGTTGTTGGAGGTAGAAAGTGAAGTGGATTCCAGAAGGAAAGGACAGTGGGAGCAGAGGCACTGAATGAGACCACAGGACAAGCCCCATACGGAGGGTGGTGCTGACATGGCCAGAGGAGCCGTGGGTCATAAACCAGACACCTAATACAATTAGCTATCAGTCTGGGGGAACTTTACATGTGCCAGACCCTGTGCTGAATGATTTATAGGCACAATCCCCTTTAGTCCTCACAACAACCCTTTGGGGCAGGAACTATTATTTATTGCCATTTTACTATGAGCAATCTGAGCTGTAGGAAAGCTGACACAGCTAGGAAGTGGCGGACCTGAGACTTGAGGCTGCCGGCTGTATGTGCTGTGCCAGGGGTTTGTGTATCCACCAGCAGGAGGAAGCAGAGCCAGGCTCTGTGGCACACCAAGCCCCGAGGGGCCCGAGAGCCTGCACTGAATACCTATAGGCCTGGAGACATGGGTGACTTGTCTTCCTAGGGAAACTGGCCATGGCCTGGGGATTTCCACAGTTCCTGGTCACAGCACATCTGCTTAGACTTTTGCTAATATAGGCTTCCTCTGCAGGTCACTGCAAGATCTGTTACGTTTACCGGAAACTGAAATAAGGTGCATACCCTTTATTTGAATTTTGAATAGCTCAAACCAGTGAAGCAAAAGGCACAAGTGCACATCTTGAAACTTACTCTCCAATTAGAGGGATGGAATCCGGAAAGTACTTCTGGAAGAAATCCAGCACATCACTACTAGTTAGGAGCTTTTCGAACTCTTCAAAGGGCATGAATAAAGTGCACGTGAAAGATTTGTTCTATGGGAGAAAGAAGGACAGTGTGAGAGAGTGGGGGTCAGGCATGGCGGCACTAAGATGGATCCCGGGCTTGCAGTGTTCCTTCTGTGAGGCCAAGGGGCCTCTGGGAGGAAGGTCCAAGCAGACAGGAAAGGCACCCTCACTTTCTTCCCTCTCTCCCAAAGAAAAGTTCTGCCAAGTCCCAGGGGCGCTCCCTGGGCACTCCCTGGTACACCGTCACCTTCAGCCACACTACACTCCTCAGATTTCTAATAGGTTGGTTGGATTGAATTTCTCCTCTCTTTTATTCTCTATTGTTCCTTTTAAGATGGTATTTAGAGGCATTGGACCTCAGGACTGCTAGCAAGAGAAAGAAAAAGACCAACTGGCAAAACAGATAGCTGTATTTATACAGCAAAAGAGTCTCTAGGGTCTCACAAGAGAACAGCCGTGCTGTTTTGTGATGATGTATGTGCCAATGTCCCTTAGACCTCAAAGACTGGAAGTGCCGCCTATTATAGATCCTCAATCTCTTTGGCTTTATTTGGAGACCATTTCCTCCTACACTGTCTGGGGGGAGATGACAGTCAGGCACCACCCCCATAAACTTCCAACAGTCGTTCCTGTATGTTAAATCTCCCCACGGGAAAGCCTTGGCATTCCTTCAGGCTATTCCTCACTAATCCCAAAGTTCTAAAGTTACAATCACGAACTAGACTAAACAATGACATTAGGTATACACATACTAAGTACAAAAGCAAGTAAGAAAAAACATTAATTATAGATGCAAAATTACAGTTGATACGAAATTCTATACTACCGTGTTAGGAAGTGCAATCATCATAAAGGTATTTCTAGGCCAGATATGCAGGTAATTAGGTTCCATGGCATACTGTAAGAAAAAAAAGTATATATATGTTGGGTTAGTGTATTACTACAGCACGTCTATCAAACCGACTCCGCTTATGTTATAATTGTTTCCACAGCAATCGAAATCAGTCTCATATGCACAGATATGCACATCTATAGCTCCATAAAGCAGATGTTGTCTTAGAAAAGACTGTATTCTGTCTGTATAAACTCAACCTTAGGTGTGTTTTTGATACCAAATATAATTCAAGATTTGAGAACATGCTATGAGAAGATGTTCCGCCTCTCCTTTCTCTATTTCCATGCACACACACACACATACATGGATATAAATATATAAAATATATACACACATGTAAACTATGCATGTGTGTGCTTATATATATATGTGTGTATATAGTATTTTCATACTTTATTTTTCACCTTATTTGGGGACTTATTTATATGAACAGAAAGGTCCTAAGTTTAAATTTCATGGGTAAAACACAATTTTACACGCAAGCCTCTTGTCAATTGTTTCCTACAACACAAATGGTAGAGAGAAGTCTTCTCTCTTAGTGACTCCACTACAAGGCAATGGCATCCCGAGGAAGTATTGATCACTTGGGCAGATCGATTGACCCAAATCGGTTGACCCAAACCCTTGAGGTTCCCAGGGGTTTTATATATATAAGAATATGCAATTGATTTTCCAACTATTTCAAGTTTATATTTTTGAGGAAGATTGGCCCTGAGCTAACATCTGTTGCCAATCTTCCTCTTTTTGCTTGAGGAAGATTGTCACTGAGCTAGCATCTGTGCCAATCATCGTCTATTTTATGTGGGATGCCAGCACAGTGTGGCTTGACCAGCGGTGCTAGGTCCATGCCCGGGATCTGAATCTACATATCCCAGGCCCCTAAAGCAGAGCATGTGAACTTAACCACTATGCCACCAGGCCAGCCCCAAGTTTGTATTACTTTTTACAAATGGTTAGAGAACACCTACCACATATATGTCTTACATGGTAAGAAGAACACAGAAAGCACAGCACAGTCTCCTTACCCACATTTTCACACCGTTATAGCTATTTGTGTCTTAGGAGAAAAGACTTTTCCTTCCTGACGTTTTTATCCCCAGAGCCCCAGAGAAAGTCCAGTACAAAGACATAGAAATGAAAAAGCGCATAACTCTTTGACCTGAAAGATCTTACCATGCAGTTGAATAGGCAGGATGCATAGATATGAAAAGCCAATAACTCCTCTTTAACAACAATTCAGGAGGTAGAGAGACAATAAGTGATTTGGTGCCAAATTAGGAGTATAGGAAATAAAAGCCGGGCAGGTAAGAAATCTGTGGGGCTGGAGTGGTTAAAGCAAGGGACTCGTAGATTAGATGAGAAATGAAGGACAGTGGCTCATGGGTAGGGGTAAACTTGCTGAGAAAGTGGGGGCAGCATAAATGAGCACCATATTTTAGATGGGAGTAAAGAGACCAGCCTGGGTGAGGCCAATGTCCTTGCTTTTCCCTCTTGCTATCTTTTCATCACTTCTACAATCTTTTAGAGCTCTAAAAGATAAGGAGGAGTGGAGAGATGACAGCTCACCAATTTATCATCTACTGTAATAGTAAAGGTTGAAACTGCTGATTAAAAACTATTTGGAAGATAGTGTATACCTACTGTCTTCACCGTTGGCATAGATAAGGGTTTACGCATTGTTTTGACATAGCAAACATGATGCCAAAAACGTTTTGGTGTTCATACCCTCCTCATGACCCTAGGAAACAACACTTTGTATTTTTAGCTTCTTTATTACGGAGTCACGCTCCCAACAGATATCTTTATCCAACAGCTGTCCCAAGGTCAGGGTCGTTGTAACGCCCATTAGTCCTCTCACCACAAGTCCCTCCAAATATAAAGTTTAAGCACAGTTTACTTGTTGTGCAAAAGCAACTTTAGGATGAGCCTCCCATACAATTCCCCAAAGCACCCTCTACTATCCACCCAATCCTGTCGCTCACCCCATCTCTCACCCACACTCCAATCATCAAAGATGGAGTGACGGCTCTGTTACATTAAAGAGAAAGAGAGGGAGGGAGAGCGGGAGGGAGGGAAGGGAGAAGAAGGGAGGGAAAGAGGGAGGGGAGAGGAGAGGAAGGGAAGCTAAAGGAGGGAGGGAGGGGAGAGAAAGGGAAGAAGGGAGGAAGGAAGGGAGGAAGGAAGGGAAGGAAATTTTCCTAGGATTGTTTTTGGGCCATGCCAGAATATTTCCATGTCTGGGTCACATTGCTGTGTCAGAACAGTGTTTCTTAAAAAAGTAGAGACTTCTCGTAATCCGCTAATCATTACTATTAAATAGGAATACCTAGAAAATAAGTGGCTGTCTTAAATCTACATTAGGAGGCATGATTCCGCTCAAGTCTGGGACAATTTTTCAATAGAATTGTGTAATCCAGAATTATCAGATACTGGGCCAAGAGAACAGAACCCACCTGAAAACGTAAACTCAGCACGGAAGAATTAGTGAATACACTTCTGACCAGGAAGAAGAAATAAAAAGACAATGGAATGTTAAAATACATATTTGACTGGCTCATACAGGTTGGGATGTAATACCACTATCCCAATTTGATGAGCTACTTTATAGCAATCTGAATTTCAGTTAGATAGATTAAAGCAGTACCTTATAAATGGATGTTTGCTATCAAGTCAAGCGTTTAACTAATGCTGTCTGCTTATTCTTACTTATAAGCAAACATCCTTATTCCTTCTGTTGGTATTTTAATTTTCCTTAGTAAGTTCCTCCATTTCTTTGCTTATGATAATATCAAATATGTATACCATGTATTTCCCTCAGGCCACATATGGTTTAACGTGGGAACCAGGGAATGAGAAAAACTCAACGGAAATTCTTCAACAACTTGTTGTTCACTTTATTTAATAACTATTATTTGATTTAATCATGAATATAAGAACTCTTGATTGTCAGTCCACAGAACTGATTTCCAAACCATTTTTAACTCCCAGGAGAAAATAGAAAAATGTCAAAATCCCCCGTGTGTTTCCAGTAGAGCAGTTGGAATTCCTGTCTTTCTTTCCTACTCAGGAAAGCATATTAAAAGGTAAGGGAGGGGCTGGCCCAGTGGCATAGTGGTTAAGTTCGCACTCTCACTTCAGCAGCCCAGGGTTTGTAGGTTTGGATCCCAGGCACAGACCTACACACTGCTGATCAAGCCATGCTGTGGCAGCATCCTACATACAAAGTAGCGGAAGATGGGCACAGATGTAAGCTCGGTGACAATCTGCCTCAAGCAAAAAGAGGAAGATTGACAACAGATGTTAGCTCAGGGCCAATGTTCCTCACCAGAATAAAAAAAAAGAAAAAGGTAAAGTGTGAAAGGCATATTACCCCCAATTTACTATGAATTATGAAGTACTCATGGTAGAAGTCACAACTGACTGAGACAGGCTACTGAGAACAAGCACCCTAGAGTATGCTTCTGCTCTAGTGTGGGGGTGGGTTGTGGAAAGGGGAAGAGAAAGAGAAAGGACTTACGCCCCCATCCTTAGGTGGAATAGTCAACTCCATGTACCCATGAGGAATGTATTGCTGACTATAATCAAAGCGGGGTTTCTTCATGAGGTGAGCTCTGACAGTTGAATAGGCTCCATCACACCCTACAATGAGGTCATAGGTGACATCTTTGGGAACTTTGTCAGATCTGAAAAATATAATGAACCATCAAAAAAAAGTCTAGTGGTGAAAATGGTGATATACCTCCACTTGATATAAAAAGTAGCAACTCAATCTACACTCACTTTTCCAACAGATGGCTTTGAGTTGATAGCTGTAAAGTGAAGATGACACTCATCCCAGTTGTGGGTTTGCTTACGAGGATGAGAATAACACACAACCACACTGATTAACGAGGACGTGCCAGGCCACAGAAGCGGAACTAAGAGCTGAGTTCCCCGCACAAGGGAAGAGAATCTTGAAAGAAGGCAAAGTGTTGGAAGTGGAGGGAATGTGTGAACAACCACAGGGATGTGACCAAGATTATCTAGGAGCAACCTAGTTGGTTCAAGCAAAGGGGCTCGCAAGATAAACTTAAGAAAAGACTGCAAAATAGGGAGGGAATTGAGGGAGGAGAAAAGGAGAATTTTGAATGTTAAGACAAAGGTTTAAATATATTATTCTGGCAAAAGGGATAAAGTAATTTTTTCCATTGGGGGGATGGTGTATGGAGAGTGGTAAGTGGATGAATTGAAGTGGAGGCAGAACGCAGAACGGAGGGGGAACAAGGTGACTGCATAGCCTACATGTGCGGGGATGAGAGCCCAGGGGCTGTCGTGCTCAGGAAGAAGGAAGCATTGGCTCCGAGGCCCGCAGGAAGTAAGAAAGACTGGGGAGTGTGCATAGATTCAGTGGGAGAAAATAGGGAAGGGAGCTCATCAAGAATGACTAATTATTTGGAAAACCCTAGGGAGCTCAGGAGTGGGACGTGCTTGGAGAGAAATAGATGATCAAGGTTTCAGACGTGTTTGAGATCACGGCAAGATGTACCTGTGAAAGTGCGTAATGGGAAATGAACATTGATTAGGACTGAAATAAGAACTGAGAATGAAGATACGTCGAGGCCTGGTCCGAAGAGGTTCATTTTAGAGATGGGAATCACAAGTGGCGGTTGAATGGACTGAACCCATGACATGTCCCGAGCGTGGGACATGAGGCTTGGAACTTGAGAGGAAATAGAGTCAGCCAAGGAGAGGCAAACAAATAGCATCTAGAAAGCGGACAGAGGAAGCAGGGCCATGGAGGGTCCTCTGTTTCACTGGAGGAGACGGTTTGAAGCAGTGTGGTTGCCAGGAGGGCGACCTTCGGAGGGTGAGCGACATGAGGATTGAGAAGAATCGGGGGTGTTGGGATTCAGAAGGCATCGAGGGCCTATTTTCAATACAAAATTCTTTTAATCTAGCAACCGTTTGAATTACCCTTTCAGTAACCATTTAACTCTTTCAAAAGCGCCAAAGAGCAAAGTTTACACATAAAATTCCCCACTCCGCCCCTTCACCTCTGAAGTCAAAAGGCTGGTGGGTGGTTACCCAAGCACGGTGAGCCGCCCTTCCTCGGGGTTACACTTCAACATCCGGTGGCCAAAGTGCACCTTTGCGTTGGGGTATTTCTCAACCTCTGAGGAAACAAAGAAAGGCAACAAATAGAAATGAAATTCCAGCTCTTATTTCACTTAAACTGGAGTATTAGTTGTTTTCTGAGAACACTATGATTTTCTTAACATTCTAAAAATGAGTTAGTGAAAACGGTAAAATTTCACAACTATTTGGCAAATGTTCCAGGGTAATTTGATAGTAAGACAGTTGAATGAAAATCAGCTATTCTCGTCTCAAAAAAAAAGAATCCGACCAATTCTTATGCAAATTCTTACATCACTATCATTGTTAGCACCTGGGAAAGAAGCAGGCCTCACCTATTTTAAAAGCTGCCTCCAATTTAAGACTTCATTTGCGATTGGAAATATTCAGCCAAATTTCTTTTCTCATACTCTCCCTGACTCTAGATCTCTTTTTAGTAAGCCTTCTAGACTTCTGATTCAAGTTGTCACAAATATAGATTACTGAGACTAATTCTTTTTATAATCAAGCACTGGAACACAAAAAAATTGAGTAAGAAGATTTGAAACTTTTCAATAAATAGAATCAGATTATTTTAGTGCTTTTCTGTTCTGCTTGCTAGCAATCTATAGAATTTAGTGAATTTCATTTTCTGAACTATTATTCTTGTTCTTGTCAGAGTAGTAAAATATGATTTTTGTCTCTATTCATTCTCACAGATAGGTCTATAATCACAGGCTATTTATGCTTTTTAAAGGTACAAATCAGAATGTACGTGTTAGACCCGGAACAGACTTCAGAGATGATCTCATCTTCTGAATGGAGTAACAAGATCCTGGGAGAAAAGGTAAAATGCCTGGGATCACAGAGAGTAAAACATTAGGGAAAAACAAGCCGGAGGTTCTGACTTCCAACTCAGTACTTCTGTCTGTACGTCTCTCTCCTTTCCATCTCAGGTTTTGTCATCTTTTGTTCTGTTTTGCTTGAGTTTGATTTGGGGTTTGAAGATTTTAAGGTTCTTGGATATGAGATTGGAAGTTTTAGAAAACTGAAATCCAAGAGGCCCCAAACCAAAGACTTATCTATGTATAAGAAATCTTTTGGCCAATAGATGGGTAAGGCAGATTAATAGAGTAAAGGCCCTGAGAAGTACTGTAAGAAAAGACTTGAAATTTGTTTGATGCAGGACTTAACCGAACTTGCTTGAACCACGTATCCTTTTTCTGTTTGTTTTGCTTAACAATTATTAACATCCCACAGAACAGTGAACCATGAAACAATCCTACGTGAAATGCTGACGCAGCGGAATGATTTAGTGATAACGTTTCAGAGGGGGGGCTGCTCAGTTAGAGGGAATGAGCTTTCACAATTGGTTGAATGTGTGAATGCGCAGCCCACACATTTGGTGCTGTGTAAAGGAATAAAGAACCTTACATGCCAAACAAAGTTGAGGAGTCAAGAGATCTAGCATTCATTTTATTAACTAGCATTTATTAACATTAATGCTAATCAAGAGATCTAGCATTCATTTTATTAACATTTTATTAGCATTCATTTTATTTTATTCATAGCATTTATGCAGTTGCATGCTGCACAGCACATTCCTCATGAAAAATAGTTAGGGGAGCTTGTGATCTGTACACCAAGATTGGATCTCCCTCATGTCTTAGCTCCTTAGTATTCGCAGATGTTTCATATATAATATTGGAGGCAATGACTGTAGTAGTTAAAAGCATGGACTTCGGAATAACGGACTCAAGTTCAATCCAGGTTCTACACTTATTAACAGTGTGAGCTATGACACTGGGAAGTTCCTAGGCCTCCTTTACCATCTGTACAACTGAGATGAAAATAATTCCACCTCATGTAGTTGTTGGGAGGGTTACACAAACAGATGTATGTAAAGGACTTCACATAGTGCCTGGTGCCTCAGTGAATGCTCACTTTTACTTTTATCTTAATAAATTCAGAGGATGCTGAAAAGGGATTGTCCTAGGTCAGCTATACTACTTACTTATTTATTTTTTTATTTTTATTTTTTTGAGGAAGATTAGCCCTGAGGTAACATCTGCTGCCAATCCTCCTCTTTTTTGCTGAGGAAGGCTGGCCCTGAGCTAACATCCGTGCCCATCTTCCTCTGCTTTATATGTGGGATGCCTACCACAGCATGGCTTGCCAAGCAGCACGATGTCCGCACCTGGGATCCGAACTGGCGAAGCCTGGGCCGCCGAAGCGGAAGGTGCGAACTTAATCACTGTGCCACCGGGCCGGCCCCTATACTACTTTTCTTAAAAAGCTGTTTTGTGGCTTATTTATTTTCTTAAGATTGTGAATATATGTAGCGACCTAGCCCCACCCCACCCATCTACCCATCCAAAAGGCAGTCTCACAAATGCAAGCAAAGAAATGGATCTAAGAAGAAGACTAAGCCCTGTTTCCTAAGTCCCTGGGGAATCAACTAGAGTGAGCTTCCCCATCACTCCTTCTCCCCATTCAATTCAGTTCAATTCAACAGATGTACTGCAGACTCGCTCTGGGGAGCGGACTGTGCAGTAACTCAGAAAAGCCACGTGGGAACTCTGCTCTCCAAAGATCAGAGACTGCGGGGCTGCGACAAGAGGGACTGATTCAAAAGATAGTAGAAATACCCAAGCAGCATGCTCTGCAGGGAGTGAATCTGTTTAGTACAAACGCTGAAGAGGAGGAAAAAACATTATGATCAAGGGCAACATGGGAAGTGATTGGATTAATTATGCAAGCTCCAGGCTTAATTAGCAATCCAGCGGCTTTTCCATTAATGGGTAGACCTTTTCAGCAATTCAGATTAGAAATGTGAGAGTTCTATTTCACACCTTCCTCTTTTTCAACTTCCTACACCCTCTGTCTATTTGGTCTCCTGCAAACGTCATGAATCTATACCGTCTCCTCCAACCACGTTGCCACAGCTTGAGTCCAGGGCATCGTTTTATACCCAGGGCTTATCCTAACCTCTGAAGACTGCGGGCCTCTATCTGCCTCTACACTGCCGCTTCTCATCTTTCTGAAATGCAAATCTAATCGCGTGTCACTTTGCAAATCATTCGTGTATATCTGCTGTTCCACTAGACTTGCGTTCTTCATCAGGGAGTGAACACTCGTTCATTCCAGTGCCTAGAAGACTATAGGAATTCAATACATGTTGAACAAGTGATTTTTATTTAGATCATTGATAAGGTGAGAAAGAGCAACCGGAGGATGTATCAAGAAGGACTTTGCTTTGTACGTTGTCTTACTCTTAATAACCCATAAAAAGAAATAGAAAACAAATCTCAGTGAGTCCGGTGACAAGATTAGTCCCATGTGCTTTACTCAGAGTGACAACTGGGGAATAAAACAGTGGACTTACCAGTCAACAGATCCTTGTTCAGGTTTTCTCTGCTTATAGAAAGAATGTACTGCAAGAAAAACACAGTAGACACTGTTTGTTTCTGGAGAATGGACAAATTGATTCTATGCTATTCACTCAACAAGAGGAACTATTTATTCTTCAGCAGAGGTTGGAAACTTTAGTTTTGTGAGCATTTAGCTAAGCAGGCTTTTTTTTTAAACAAACACTTTAACCAAATACATGCTTAAGTTTGAACTTAGATTTTTTTTCAAAGTTTGATATTATAAAAATCAAACTCTCTTGTGTAGCAAAAGTATTATTTTCACTGAAATACTGTTGTTTTAACAACAAATTGTAAAACTCATATTTTCATCTTAGGTCTCCAAATTGAGCTGAAGGTGAAAAAACTTCAGAAATGACAGCATTGCTAGAATAAATGTGCTATTTCCCAAGCAGACTCCTTGGAGGCTGTCATTTCGGTGTGAAAGGTGGTGTGTGCGTGTGCGTGTGCGTGTGTGTGTGTGTGTGTGTGGTTGAGGCGAGGAGGAGGATGGGTTGGGAGGAGTAGGATACAGGCTTGCTGGGACACGTGTGGCTGTTTCTGACGTCACAGGACAGTTCAGCAGGGCCAACTGTTTGTGATGTATAGCAGGCACAGGCCCTTGGGCCCACAATATTTTTCAGGGTCCCTGAAAATGTTTTAATTTTAGTTTATTTTTAAACCAGAAGAAAAAAGTAATGGATGTATAGAAATGAATACAGCCTGGATTATATTAATCTTTATACCAGTGCGCTCATAAAATCTAATTTTTAATTTTTCTTGTGGCACAGAGAGGGGGCCCACAAAGGCAAAAGGGCCTCCCCAGGGCCCGTGAATGTCATAACGCAGCCCTGCGGTTCACCACGAGGCTATTGGTTTAAAAATTCAAAGCACGTAATTTTCCAAATTACGGGACATCACGATATTTAACACAAATATGCTAATTTATGAATCTTCACCTCATCCAAATGCAGACATTTAAAATTAACAGCTAAATCTATACTTGGCGTGAAAATAACTTGGTCATGCTACAGAGGCAATGACTGAGGAGGAGCTTCCTGTGTCTTTGTTATAAATTAAAATGAACAGGGACCTCCTAATTCTCTGTTCCAAGTTCTGTTTTCTGGTCTTCTATGTCATTAATCACTGCACTTCAAAGGAAACCACACTTGTTATTCAAAGTACACGAGGAAACATTCACATTACGAAGGCTCATTTGCATGGGGAAAATTTTCCTTCCGTATCAGTTATCATCCGATGACTGATGATAACTGATCACTGATGATAACTGATCATCAGTTCCATATTAGTTGGCATCTGTCTCATCTAGGAGCTGAGAGATGCATCGGCCCTGCGGGAGGGCCAGGAGCACCCCTGGGTGGGCCCCCCATGTGTATGGGTGGCATTGTATCAGAACCGAAATTTAGAGTCACTCCCATCAAGTGGCACTTCCCCAGTACCTACCCTAAGGCTGCTCTTATGAAGAATAAATATGAATAAAAGGATCAGAGCTATAAAGTGACCCTCAACAACCAAAAATAATAACAAAACCTAAAGGACGTTGGATAATCTCCTTTGGAGATTTGTAAGACAATAGTTGAAGTGCTGACTTTTTCACATATATTAGAAAAAAATGCTTACATTCTATATCCCGAATGCCTTCAAAAGAGAATGCTTCCTAGTAAGGGCTGCCATTTCTCCATTTTGGACATAGGAAGTCAGGAGTAAAAATCGGGGAGCTCTGACCCGCTGTGTATATTTGAGGCCATTTCGATAGTTCCCAGTGCAATTTGGGAGAGAGATGGAAAGAACCAGCAAGACAGGGAAGTGTCTGGACACTGCAAGGGAGAAAAGGCAGAGAAACAACAGCTGGAGGAGAGAGGCCTCAGAGAAGGGATTCAGAAAGGATTTTGGAGGTCAAATTGTGCCCATGAGGGATTTCTAAGTTGTTTGCTGTGCAGTGCTCAATGCAGGCCCTCCATGACCCCCACGTCTTCAGCATAGTCATGTGTCTTTTGAGTGAGCATTGTTTGTGGAAAGTGGTGAAAGGGGTGAACTTCGCGTCTGGACCATCATGGTACACAGCCAGTGCCAGGTGAGAGGGGATGGACACCAAGAGGCAGTGGAAGCCAAGAGAGGAGGCTGCCTGGGGACTTGCAGAAATGAGCCCTGGGCTCATGGGGAGGGCTTTGCACTTCCGTAGGCTGTGGAACTGAGTGATTCAAAACAATTTTATGTGGTTCTTAAAGGACGAGGAGGCCCCCATATCTGACTCAGATATAAAAGTAGCGATGCAAACCAAAGAAAGAGGGGTGGCTGTAAATTTAGCATTAACTCAGTTCTTCAGAATTGAGAAATGGCAGGTTTGGTGGGGAGGGATCTTTTCCTCCCTGTTCTAGTGTATCAAAGGCCCCAAATGGGAATTCCCACCAACGCTTTCACCCTCTTGGGGAATCATTGCTGAAGAAGCTGCTTCTCTCTTCAGTGGTTGGGGTAAGGAAGCCGATTTTAGTCTCAAGTCCAAGTCACTCTCCTCATCCAGCTTTCCTGATATTTTGAACCGTATCTTACCCCTCGGTCTATTTATGCTTCACTGGTTCAATTTCTGTGGAGGGATGGGTTCGATGAATTGGCCTTTCTCAGCACATTCCACGTTAATCCAAGAGAAAGGTGAGGTGATTATTACGAGTCACTCTCAGTTTAGAAAAAGAAATAGTGTATCGGGGCAGCGCTGCCCTGCGCTCCTGTGAGGGCCTCCTACACCGCACTCCACTGGCCGTCGTCTGTGAGCAAGCCTGCCCTGTTTCTCCCTTCATGTTGACCTCACGTAATCGTGCAACCCGTTTCTTCCTCTGTAAAGCGAGATGATTGGATTCGATGAATCTCAGGTTGCTAATGGCTGTAAGATCCTGTTATGTGAACCTGCATTTACAAGTTTGCTCATCCAATACACACTTGCAGCTCGAAAATTTACATTTTGTTAGAAATCTGGTGTCACTCAACTTTCCTCCATAAACAGATCCTCATTTGATCGGGACAATGCTATTTCACTGCCAATTGAAGAATTATGCAACATGTCTGTCTTACAACTCTTTCTCTGTGAAGTCTTCTCTGAAAACTAACCTAAACTAAAACTAAAGCTTTCGTCCCTGGCTGAACCACACAGCTGAGCGCTCCTGCCATCACTCAGCTGAGTTCTTGTCACAGGGAACTCAATTACTGTCTACCTTTACCAGGTTATAAGCTCCTCTCCCCACGGTCAGCAACTGGCCCAGGGCGTGACACCTAGGAGGACAATTGCTATTTATGGAAAAGATACATTTAGTACGCACAGCTTATACTTTACTGGCACTTGTAAATCTCATGAGCTTGTCTATTAAGCACTTGTCCATTAAGAAGAGGCGACTCTTGGGGCTGGCCCCGTGGCCGAGTGGTTAAGTTCGCGCGCTCTGCTGCAGGCGGCCCAGTGTTTCGTCGGTTCGAATCCTGGGCGCGGACATGGCACTGCTCGTCAGACCACGCTGAGGCAGCGTCCCACATGCCACAACTAGAGGCACCCACAATCATGCATTCAAACTCTGTACCTATGTTTTTATAATGTCAAAATAAGCAGATTATTATTTCTAAAAAGTCATTAAACAGAAAATTTTGATCCTTCCCCACCACCTCTCCCCCAAAGCCCTTAGTTGTTGGAATGTTTTACTTTTCAGCCCCTTTTGTTTTTATTTTTAAAGATTGGCACCTGAGCTAACAACTATTGCCAATCTTCTTTTTTTTTCTTTCTGCTTTTTCTCCCCAAACCCCCCCAGCATATAGTTGTATATTTTAGTTGTGGGTCCTTCTAGTTGTAGTACTTGGGACGCCGCCTCAATGTGGCCTGATGAGTGGTGCCATGTCCTCACCCAGGATCCGAACCAGAGAAACCCTGGGCCGCCGTAGCGGAGTGCGCGAACTTAACCACTCGGCCACGGGGCCCCTTTTTAAACAAATTTTAATTGTGGTAAAATACACTTAGTATAAAATTTACCATTTTAACCGTTTTTAAATATACAGTTCAGTGGCAGTAAGTATATTTCCAATGTTGAGCTGCCATTGCCACCATCCATCCACAGAACTCTTCATTTTGTAAAACTGAAACTCTGTCCCCATTAAACAGCAACTCCCAGCCTCCATGTCCTCCAGCTCCTGACAACCACCCTTCTCCTTTCCACCTCTATGAATTTCACTACTCTAGGTGCCTCATCCGAGTGTAATTATACAGGATTTCTGCTTTAGTGACTGGCTTATTTCACTTAGTATGAAGTCCTCAAGGTTCATCCATGTTGTGGCCTGTGTCAGAATTCCCTTCCTTCTGAAGGCTGAGTAGTATTCCATTTTATGCTGTGTATGTATAGATATACTATACTTCTCCCGTGTGTCTCTTTTGTTCTCAGACTACTACCACACCCGCAACAGTTCTGACCCCGGATGTGTGGGGGTTTTCCCCCACCAAGCAATTCTCTACAACACCAGCTAGGGGTCCTACAATTCAACTCAATTCTGACACTATCTACCCAGAGATAGTGACAGATCCTACAGGTTAAGGGCTCAGTCCCACAAGACTGCCTCACTGCCACCACATCAGATGCCAGTTGCAAGTCCAGTTTGTCACCTATGCTTCTGACTGATCAGCTATAAACTGGACCCACTCTTCGCATTTGATTAATTTGCTAGAAGGGCTCACAGAAGTCAGGAAAACAGTTCACTTTTATCAGTTTATTATAAAGGCTATGATAAAAGGTACAGGTGAACATCGAGATGGAAGAGATGTATAGGGCAAGGCATGTGGGAAGGGGTGCGGAGATGCCGAGCTCTCTCCAGGGCACCTCTCTCCCAGCACCTGCACATGGTCACCAACCTGGAAGTTCTCTGAATCCCATACTTTTGGGATTTTTATGGAGACTTCCTCACAGAGGTGTGATTGATCATTAACTCCATTTCCAGGCCCTCTCTCCTCTCTGCAGAATGGGAGGTGGAGCTGAAACTCCCAAGCTTCTAATGATAGCTTGGTCTTTCTGGTGACCAGCCCCCATTCAGGAGCCCCTCAAGAGTCACCTCATTAGAACAAAACACACTGCTATCACCCAGGAAATTACAAAGGATTTAGGAACTCTGTGTTAGGAACCAGGGTCAAAGACCAAATTTCAGAACAAAAGATTCTCCTACTGCTCTTATCACTCAGGAAATTACAAGGGTTTTAGGAACTCTGTGCCAGGAACCAGGAGCAGAGACCAATATATTTATTTTATATTATCTCAAATATGTATATACCACATTTTGTTTATCCATTCATCCATCCATGGACACTTGGATAGCTTTCATCTTTTGCCTATTGTGAGTAATGCTGCTATGAACGTGGGTGTTCAAATATCTCTTTGAGACCCTGTTTTCAGTTCTTTTGGATATATGCTCAGAAGTGGAAATGCTGGATCACATGGTAATTCTATTTGTAAGCTTTTGACGAACCGCCACATTCTTTTCCACAGTGGCTGCATCATATTCCCACCAAAAGTGCACAAGGGTTCCGATTTCTCCACATCCTCTCCAACACGTTATTTTCTGTTTTTGTTTTTGTTTCTGATAGTAGCCATCCTTGTGGAAATGAGGCTCTTCAGCCGCTTTTATGGTCACAAGATCCACAAAGACCTTGTTCCCAGGAGCATATGGGATTTATCTCTTGTTACCCAAAGTGTGGTCCATGGACCAGCAGCGTGGACACCGCCTGGGTGTGTTAGGATGCAGAACCTCAGCCTCCACCCCAGCCCTTTAGAGTCAGACCGCATTTTGACAAGATACCAGGTGAGTCTGAGAAGCACTGTTCTGCCTGCAATGGAGCTCTGCGGAAGGTCAGAGACTCAGAAGCACGGGAACCTCACTTGGGTTCTGCACTTTATAAAATGAATCATTGTTGCACAAAGCATGCTGGAGTTTTTCTCTCATTGATAGATGTTTGGTACATGCATTCTCTCCCAAAGAAACAAACTTAGAAGGTGTAACCAGATAAAAGTACACACTGTGCCCAACTCTGCACATTACTACGTAAAAGATAAGAAGAAAAACACAAAACAGAATAGTGGATTTTCTTTTATAAACTCCACATCACCATCTGACCTCTTGTTTTAGGAATTATACAATACTGAAAGCATTTCTGATTCATTCTATAAGTTCTATTATAATTAAATTTGGGGCAAGAGAGTCCGGGAAGGCAACGACATCGGGTAACCCTTTAGAGTTGTACTCCCATGTTCTGCTTGACAATGAGTACATGGTACTCTTCTCTATGGAACTGAAAGGAGATGGGAAGGAAATGCGTGAGCAAGGCATAGAGGCAAAAGCAGCCTAAAATGATGGCAATAATCATGAACACTTATCCAGTGTTTATTAGCAACTCGACCCTATTTTAAGCATCTCCTATGAATTAATATGTTAACTAGTATACGTTCCTGAATTCCAGACTGAGGCAGGCAATGTCAAAGATAAGATTAGAGAGGAAAGGAGGCACTGACAAGCAAGTGCCAAGTTCCAGACGTCAGACTCCACTATAACCAATCCCATAGCTCCAGGGCAAACCTACCTGGGACTTTGTTCCATAGGGAATGGCAGACTTTTTTCCTGAAAGAGAGTGAATCATTCTTGCCCTCATGGGAACACCTCGGGATACAATCTGAAATAAACCAGAAAGATTGATTTCAACTTCTACATCATGGCATCATGCAAATAAGATAGATATTGACTTTAAAGTGTGATTTTTTCAAAAAATTTAAAAATAATGTAAAGGACATGAAAATACAGTATGGTGAAAACCTTATTAATGAAAATTGTGTTCCTGTAAATTTTAGTTTTTGCATTTTTTTAGTCTTTAGATTTGGGAATTGACTTAAAGTGTATCTGGTCTAAATCAAATATTACAACTGAGGAAAGTGGTTCACTGTCAGAGAGCTTAAGTGGTTTTCTCATGACCACAAAAGAGAGAGATGCATGAGGAGTAAAGTCAGGACTGCTGAAACCCAGTGCAAAGTGTTTCCCTCCACACACAGCTCCAGGAAAGCTGTGGAAATGCAGTGGCATGTACATTGACTTATATTCTCATTTCAAAGATACGTGGTCAGCAAAAGTACTCTCAAGAAAAATGTACTATTTCTGTTTACATTTCCAAGCTACATCATACACAGTGAGTTCAGCAACACTGAGCCCACATGAGGAAAATCTACTCCAGGCCCACAATCCTTATCCAAACTCTTGGGGCCCGTTGGTTTCACAATTCAGAAGTTTTCAAATTTTAGGTAGGTCGTGTAGTGCATATGTGGATATCACGTAGCACCCAGTGGAGTCTGGGGCACCATCCCATAACCAAACACAATATTTCTGTAGCAAAAGATATTCACACCACGTGAGATTTTCTTTAAAAGGTCATAAAAATCCATGCATCAGGTCAAGTTTGCTACTGATTGGGTGATGAAAAAGCTTTCTATTTCCAGGGCTTTTTGGAGTATGGAATTGTGGACGAGAGATTATGGACCCGTATAGTCAAAGCAACGGGGTCTGCCTGCCTCCTCTCATCCTGATGCCGGCCCGGATCACACGTTCTGTACGTAGAGCCCTACCGTCCTGTTGGGATCCCAGGGTCATCAAGTGGGCTTTCAGCACCTCCGCCCCACGTCATGTGCCATGCTCCCCCAGGGGCCTCAAGCGTCAAACATTCACCCTCTTGCCAAATTTAGAAGTTTGAAACCTTTGTAAAATGAATTTTCCTGCATAGGTTCTTGGCATTACACGGTGCCAGGATGAAATCAAGACCATGCAATTGTTGACAGACAGCAGGCATTACCTTCCATAAGGAAAATGCATTAACAAGGTACCTGGTCTTCTAGGCCAATGGCTTTCAAGGCTTGTCGTCCTCTGTAAGAAAGGGCCAAGTTAATGCTTCTTCCGCGCGCAAATTCAGCCACTCGGATATCTAAGACGTTGGAAGGAGAGTGCATGTTACACGTTGGTATATGTTAGGACACTATGAGCATGTAGCAACTGGTGCAATCAGGCCCAAATTAAAAGACCTTGTTAACTCTTTTAAAGAAAACATTAAGAGTAGTAAATTTGTATTAAATTAAATTTAGATAATTAAGGTTTTTAGAAAAATATAACAATTCCGCTTTTTTGAAAAAATTATTTTTAAAATCTAAAGAGAAAGAATTCAAAGAATGAGAAACACATCTCACCATTTTCAGTATCGTCTTACCTTCCCTAGCTTCATATACATCAACTTGGAAATTCCTCTTTGCAAGGAAGCATGCATTTAATGATCCAACCTAGGAATCAAAGCAAGTGTTTTCATATTTTTATCTGATTCTGCAATGTAGGGAATTTTTACTGGAAAAATGCTACATTGTATGTAGGTGTACTATTCCTAACCTCGGTTATCACCTTGACTCAGTCACTACTGGAAAGCACCATTTGCAAAAATAATGGGATTAACTCAAGATTAAGTGGTATAATTTTAGAGGTAGTTTGGGGTTTTTTCCTTGTTTTTCTTTTTTTTATGGTGAGATAAAACTTTCATACAGAAAGACCATAAAACATTTAGTTTATAGCATAATTAGAAGCAAATACTCGGATAACCACCACTAGGGTCAAAAAGTAGAGCACTGCCAACCTCCAGAACATTTGACCCCCACGTTGGGTCAAAAAGTAAAGATCCCCCTTGCCTCCTCCCCAATACAGTGCCCAACCTTTCACCTAGAGGTAAACGTCACTCTGACTTTCATGATAACCCATCCTTGCTTCTTTATAGTTTCCCCACTTAGGAATATATCCCTAAGGAATATAGTTTCATTTGGCCTGCTTTTGATCACATAATTAGAATCACCCTTGTGTATTTTTTTACATCTTGCTTCTTTAACTCAACACCATGCTTATGAGATTCATCCATATGTTTGCACGTAAACAGCAGGTCATCCATTCTCGTTACAGTATGATTCTTCATCATATGAAATCTTACAGATTACTTAGCTATTCTACTGTTGAAAGGCATTTGAGCTGTATCTGGTCTGAGAATATTATTTTTTTCCAGTTTTATTGATATAGAATTTACATATAATTTTGTAAAATTTAAGGAATATAACGTAATGATTTGATATATGTATGTATTGTGAAATGATGGTCTGGAAATATTATTAACAATATTGCAAAGAACATTTTTGTACATGTATCCTGGTATATATGTGTATGATTTTCTCTAGGGTTTTATACTTGGAAGTGGAATGCCTGGTTAAGGTGTACGTATCTTCACCTTTAGTATGCCAAACTGTTCCACAATTTTGTCTTAATGTGTTTTCCCACCAGCAGCTTCTGGGAGTTCATCTTTGTCAGCACTTGGTGTTCGCAAACTGTAAACACAATGGCTGGAGAGCAACATGGGAGGACTGTGGTTTTAATTTGCATATGACTGATTGCTGAACAGGTTGAACACTTTTCCTATGTTGATTGGATATTTGGATCTCCTCTTTTGTAAACTGCCTGTTTAAGTCTCTTGCCCGTTTTCTATTGGGTTGGCTGTCTCTTTTTCTATGGGTTGTTTGAGTTATTCATAGTCTGAGAGATCTTTCTGTCCAAAATAATTCTGGGTCCAAGAAAACATGAAAGAAGGGGATTAATTTAACCGTGAGGGATGTGGCAGACTGTATTTTTTAAAGATGGCCACGACAATCTTTCCCATTCTCTTCCACAATGTGACCTTGACACTCCTTCATCCAGAGATGGAGTTTATTTCTCCACTTCCTTGAATCCAGGAAGCCTTTGTCAATAAAACGCAGTAGAAGTGACACTTGAGCTGTTTCCAGGCATAGCCCTCAGCTAGCCAGCCTGGATCCTTCTGCTTCCTGCCTTTTCATGTAAGAAGAACAGCTATCTGGAGGCTGCCATGTGTGAGAAGCCCAAACCCTGTGGACAGGCTGTGCCATTGCTCCAGTCAAGAGACTCAGCTGAGCTCTTCACCCCCCCAGTAGCCAGCACCAGCTGTCAGCTATGCGAGCGCACCATCTTGGATGCCCAGCCTGGTCAAGCTTTCAGATATCTGCAGCCCCACCCCCATAACAGACCATCACCCACAGAACTGTGCCACACAGTAACAGAGGGTTGTTTTAGGCCATTAAGTTTGGGGTGGTTTGTTACCCAGCAATGGATAAACTGGAACAAAGGGATTGACAGAAACTTCATGGAGAAGATGACTCATGAGTTGAGCTCTGAAGGATGAGACTATTGTGACATGCAGAGAAGAAGCAAGTTGATAAAGAATACGAATCTCTTTGGAAATCTAAAAACAACTTTCAAGAGACGGAAAAATTGTTGGTTGAAAAATATGTATTGATTTCTAAGTATTACAAGATTCCTTGCTAGGCGTTAAGGTTGATCCAAAGATAATAAACAATGGCGGCCTTCAGGGAGTTCACAGTCTGGTCTGGATCTTCATTTTTTCTCAAATATTATTCATATATTTATTTAACACATATCTATGGATTTTTTTTCTATGTGCTAGCTCTGTGCTAGGTGCTGGGGTACAACAGAGAGCAAGACACACTCACAGGGCCCCCTCCACGGTGCCCGTGTGGGCAGCCAGGCCCCAGAGGTGTGGGTTTGCCACCTTGGAGCATCTCAGGATGTTTAGGGGCCTTGTGTGGAGCTTAGAGGAATTTGGGGGGCCTTCACGGCTCCACTGCCCAGCCCACACACCTGGGAGCTTGCTGACCCCCTGGGAACGGCAGACTTCCTGCAGAGCAAGAGCCAGGCTTCCAGTGGCCTCACAGTGGGAGTGAGGGGTGCACCCCTCTCGAAGGAAAAACGTCCCTCAGGCCCCAGCGCTGGCTTGCATTTTTTTATTGTAATGTTGCTTAAGTATGTGCAAACTTGCAACTAGACATAAGCTTCTTATGTTTGTAGTTCTCACACAATTGTGAAGCTAAAACAGATGTCAGGTTAACTGTAACCAAAAAGGGGAAGATACACACAGACCTCTCCAGGAGATTACAATCCTTTATACCACAGGGTGAGAAACAGTATGATGGGAAGCACAGCTATGAGAGTGTCGGGGAAGGACCCTTAACGCACGGCAGGGTGTACAGTGAGATAGGATATGCCTTCTTGGAACAAAATGAAATCTAAGCTGAGCCTGAAAGAAGGAGTGGGAGTCAGCCAAACAAGGGTGCATGGGTCAGGGGCAAGAGGGTTCTAAGTAGAAGGAGCACATGATAAAGGTGAAAAATAACTACTAGAAAGAATGAAACAGAGACA